TAGGCGTTGCGAGTCCAACTTGTAATTCCAACGTACCGAGATCAAAACCCACTGCTAGCTGCGTGGATTTATATCGTGGTATGGGGTGTCGCAGGTCGACCCAGTCTAAAATAGGTACCAGGATGTATGTCATGGGGAAGTAAAGGGGGTCGGGGTAATGCTGACTTCTTTACCTACCTAGTGCCGATTGATCTGTACAAATATGGGTGCTCTTCCCATATGCCCGATGTGCCTACATGCGTAAAAAGGGATCTTTACTTACATTACTTCGCTTTTTTTAATTGCCATTTTCTAAATTGGTATTGCTAGTACTGCGCATCCAAACGAGACGTGCACCCTTGATTTCCCCCTCCCCCACTAATTTCCTATCAGATTACAGGAAAGGGACCCCCCCCCCCCCCCCCATCCCTCTTTCAAAGTAGCTTCGTGTTGTCGCCCTTAAGTCAACATTCACTCAACTTATCTCCAAAACTTCGACCTAGAACCCAACTACTGATTGACTTTTAATGTAACGTTACAAACACAGTGCAGCCGTATGAACACTTCACCCAACTGAAACTAACGTAGACAAAAAGTCGGTTAGGGGCCATCTCCAGAATAAAAGTTAGCCACACTAGGTTTCCAGAAGCCTCTTTTCTTTCTGTGTGTGCACTCTCTCAGACTGGGGGGAGGGGGCCTGCGTGGTCTCGATACATGGTGTCCGCCTCGATTGCTAGAGGTTCTGGGTTCAATCCCCGGTAAGGGCTGGGATTTTTTCACGTGGACCTGGACTTTTAGTAATTTCCCACTGGTCTCTGGGTAGTGAGATCGGACGCTCGTGTGTATTGCTGCACACGAAATTAAATCCCTCGGCAGTTGGAAATCGAAAAGAGTAGCCTAACGACGCTGCCCGGGCAAAATTTTGAGTTAAAAATCTACCCAAAGTATTTCAGGATCCTCGCCGGTGCTACAGAGCCTGTGCACTGTGCTGAGTTTCTTTAGACTCAGACTTGAGTTAGAACGAGAGCGAAGTACTTTAACTTCTAGGTCGACCCAGCCTTAAATGGGTACCAGGTACAGTCCTGGGAAGAAAAGGTGGTCGATGTGACCACATCACCCGAGTGCCAAACAGATCTATAAAATATAGGTCTAGCCCTATATGCCCAACACGCTTAAAGGCTTGAAACAGGATCCTTTACTAAGCATATCTGTTTCTACAGCAAGGTGTATACATCATTTGGATGTGACAGGTAAGATTCCTGCCAATAGATTGGGTAAACCCTAAGGTATTCTTGTGTGCAATCTAAAAAGTTTTCCTTTTCAAACTACAAAGATTTTGAATGGAAAAATTAGGTTTCTTTCAGTAGCTGTGCATTGTGTTGTTGTTGTTGTTGTTGTTGCTGCTGCTGCTGCTGTTGTTGTTGTTGCTGTTGTTGTCGTCGTTTTTGAGTAGAATAAATTAAAACCAACCAATGAACTAAGCACTCAAAACGCCAACTACAATTAGCCAACCAGTCAACAGAACTCGCCAATCAGCCACAAATCAAATAATCAACTCAAAGTAAAGTTATAATGAAAATTTTTAAGGCTATTGTAGAATTTCAACAATATAATAATAAATAAAAGCCAAAATAATCTTCAATATTTTACAGTAACAAATGTACACAGACAATATATAGGAACCATTCAGAAACTGGGCAATAGTATATCATGTTTATGAACCAGGTAAAACTAATGTTTCGCTCCCTAGATCCCACCCATATACACACCAGCTCACTTCTGATTGGTATATCTTGAGCCACGCGTCCTTGGCACAAGGTTCCAGGGGTTTTCCGCAATGCCGTTGATATCGCGTATTGTATATTTCAGCAGGCCAGCGCTTTTAACACTTCAAAACATGGACAAACTGGGTCTAACACAACCCCTCTAGACAGTGCTGCAACTTATGTCACAGGCATTATTTGTCTTGGAAGCGAAACAAAAATTCAAAACAACCCAGAAAGCAAACAACAGAGTGGCACACCTGTAACCTGCAGGAAAGTAGACAGGCCAATTAACTTGTGAATGAAACCTGACCTCTTTCTTTGGGGAGACTAACTTAAACCTAACCTAGGAACCATATAGAAACAGGGCAACATCATATCATATATAGGAACCGTATAGAAACAGGCCAATCATATTTAGGAACCATATAGAAACAGGCCAACAGCATATCATATACTGCAGTGTTTTTCAAACCGTGAGCTGCAGCCCACTTGTGAGTGGCAATAAAAGTCCAAGAGGGCCACCAAAAATTCTGCTAAATCATGTAACGAGGTTGGGTAGGTGGTGTTTCTGTCTCTTCCAGTCTGTAGGATCAACCCCTTAGAAACTTCCTATTTGCGTGAACAGACTTTCTCAGGCATGTCAATTATAATAACCAGAGAAATCAAATGGATGTTACTACAGCACTTTGTGTATCAGAAACAATGCTCTGGCTACATATATACCCGACCTTTTAATCCCTAAGCAGTAGCAGATGTTGCGTTGGCTGAAAATAATAACTTTATAACATTAAATTGAACAAACAATGATCTATATTTCTGTTGTTGCGTGTTTGGTTAGGGCAGTGTTTTCTAAACCTTTCTTAGTTGCGGCGCCTTTTATCAATAACAAAAATTTTCCGCGGCTCCCTAACCTAAGTAAAAGCATGACTGTTTGTATGTGAGAGAATTTAAAAAAAATTAAACTTGTGTAGCTCCGAACATTTTGAGGCGCCCCTGTGAAGAGGTCGCGGCTTCCCGGGGGCGCTGTGGTGCACCGTTTGGGAATCACTGGATTAGGGTGACAGGCGGGCTGCAAAACAATTGCTCTCATTTTAGTGGGCTGCCGAGGTAAACAAGTTGAGGAACACTGATATCTCGTATTCTTCCATGTCCATGGTGATATATTACCCCAGATTTTTTCAGTTTCAAATAGAGGGTTGCCTTATACATGGAATGTAAGTAAAGATCCTTTTTTTACGCCTTTAGGCGCATCAGGCATATGAGAAGAGCACCTATATTTTTACAGTCCAATCGGCACTAGGTGGGTAATGTGGTCACCATTACGCCGGCTGTCTTTACTTCCCCAGGAAATACATCCTGGTACCCATTTTAGGCAGAGTCGACCTGTGACGCCTCATACTACGAAAAAAATCCACACAGCCAGCAGTGGGTTTCGATCGCGGTATGCTGGAATTACAAGTAGGGTTCGCAACGCCTAAGCCCCAGACGCCTCTATACATGAAATGTGTTTAATTAAAATATTTGTACTTAATTCTTAACTCAAACTTTTTTACACCAGAAGAAAATCCTGGGTTGACTCATATTATTGATTTATCGGCACTTGGTTGATGAATGAATCAATCAATTAATCAATTGATCAAGAATTGACATGAAGCACTCGTGACATTCCCACAAGTGCTCCATCTCTTTCCTCACTAGCCAACGAAGAGATGACACACCAACTCAACCAGCTAGAGCATCATTAAAAGTGTCCCTCTGTTTGCCCTTCAGTGTTACATATCTTCCAGAAACTCTATCAGCCCACACCAAATTACTCTTTCAGTATGCTTTGGTTTATGGTTTATTCCGCGGCTCAACATCATGGCACACCGGTGTGACCCATAAGTGCTCCGTTCTACTTCTATCTAACTCAACCCCGAGTCTGAAGAATCTCAGCGCAGTGAACGAACTCTGTTGCACCAGCGAGGATCCTGAAATACTTTGGGTAGATTTTTAACTCAAAATTTTGCCTGGGCAGCGCCATTAGGCTACTCTTTTTCAATTTCCAACAGCCAAGGGATTTGTAACGTGCGCAACAATACACTTGGGCGACCGAGCTGACTACCCAGAGACCAGGGGAAATTACTAGAAGTCCTCGTGAAAAAGTCCCAGCCTTCACCGGGGTTTGAAACCGGGACCTTCAGCACTCAAGGCAGATGCCATACCTCGAGACACCTAGCCCTCCGCCCCCTCTCTTTCAATATATGCATTCCCTACACAGTAACTGGTTTTCTAATTCCGACTCTATCTCCGTTGGTTAACAAAAAAGGTATTCTGCTCAGGTCACATACTACGCTGCTCTGGCAATAATTTTGTGTGTGTGTGGATGACCCACACCACCCACTTGCTGGGTCATGCAGGTTTACATCATACCAGAATGAATGAATACTTTACTCTCAAAAAGATGCAATATAAGTTGTGTTATCAAAATCAACGTCGCTGCACACTGAGCATTCCCATGTGTGCTCAGTGCTTGACTGCAGCAGCCACTCCAAGGTACCGCTATTGAATGCTGACAAGTTGGTTAGAGAGACCATGATCTTTTCTCCCAGGTCATGCAACTGTGTTAGCGTCAGAGATTTATCATTATCTCCCAGCAAACAATGCAAACAGCATTGATGATATCAGCTCTGCTCATGCTTGTTCCTGTATAAATCTATCTTCTTCTCCTTCTTTTCACACAAGTTAGATATTGTGAGGGCCCTTTGGGAACCAGTGAGCAGTGCGGACGTGCGGATAGATCATTACCATCTGAGGAGAATGGCGCTGCGAGGAGTTACCAGGGAATGAGGCCGACGCTCAACACTCAGGGAAAGGGCGAGACGGATTTACAATCAGACAGCTACTGGTGCCATCGAAATTGAAACTCTTCGCTTGCTGCTAAAGATGGGGACGGAGACCTTATGGGAGTGTCCCAAGTGCTGTGATGTTGATTCTTAACTCAATATTCAACATTCTTCTTTTCACCACTGCAGAATTGCCTCGCAGCGTCAGGGCAGGAAAAAATCTCTTGAACGGGCCCTTCTGTTCACTTTGTATAAAGTACTTTTCAGCGTCTCTGATATTTCTATGGTCCATCTTCTGCGTGGTCGACCTCTGGTTCTGTTACCGCTGTATCTGTATAACCTTGCTCTCTGAGGGGCACTGTCTGCTGCCAATCTTGTTACATGGCCAAACCATTCAATTGTATAAATAAATAAATAAATGTCATAAATCTTATCTGTGATGTCTCTGCCTGCATGACATCTCCCTGGCTGATTCAGTTCTCAGTCCCTTGAGGCCTTTTTGATTACTAATCCCCCACTCGTCCAGAATATCCATCAGGGGCAGTAATTTGTAGACGTGACACTCAAACCCGCCCTTGTTAGTTTTACAGATGTGGGTCAGGGTGTCTAAACTGATGCATACAGAGTTCTCCAGCGTCTGGGAAAGACAGCAATTAAAACTCAAAAATCTGTAACAAAAGGTTTAGATTTTAACGGCGGATCAACATAGTGGCACAAGGGTGGTAACCCATAAGTGCTCGCTTCTACTTCTGACTCAAAATATTTGTGCTTAATTCTCAACTCAAACTTAGTGAGTTGTCTTACTCAAGCCTTAGTCTGAAATTTCTCATGCAGTGCACGAACTCCGTAGCACCGACCAGCGAGGATCCTTAAAATACTTTAGGTAGATTTTTAACTCCAAATTTTGCCTGGGCAATGCCGTTAGGCTACTCTTTTTTTTATTTTCCAACTGCCAGGGGATTTTTTACGCGAGCAGCAATACACACGGTTGTCCGATCTGACTACCCAGAGACCAGGGGCAGTTACTAGAAGTCCACGTGAAAAAATCCCAGCCTTCAGCCGGGCTTGAACCTGGGAGCTACAGCACTAGAGGCGGACGTACTGCATCGAGACTACATAGCCCCCTGAAATCTGCAACAATAAAGTTAAGGACCATTTCCCTGTCCTTATGTGTTTGTCCACTTCTAGACTGTACGCATTTTCCAGTACTTGAGATTTGTATGCACACCAGTTTTACAGATCTGTCGTATTTGTGAGCAGACTGTTGATTCTGGTTCCTTGCCTCTTAGTCATGTTGTGGGAGGGTAGGTCAGAATTTCTACTCTTCCCCCCCCCCCATAAAAAATGGGGCCCCAGAACCCACACAGAGGGTACTGGGCATTTAGTGCTAGGCCTATTTCAGTGGGGGATGTGATCACTATCATGCCGGCTGCCTTTACTTCCCAGGATTTTGCCTGGTACAAAGGTAGGCTTGTTCGACCTGGGAGTCAAGGCTAATTTTCTTAAATTTCCGACCTGATGTGGATTTGAACCTGTGACACTCAGACATGCAGGCAAGAATCTAGCCGCTACACCATTGCATCTCCTAATATCGGAACAGGCTTGAAGCATCCACAGATAAATATTTGCTTTTGCCTTAACTACAAGTTTGACTATGGAGGTCATGGCTGTGACTAAAGCAGTAACATGGCGGCTAGAGACACAGACTTTCACTGGGGCCTGCTTTCTCAGTGACTCGATGAGTATGCTCAGGAAGATAGAGAAGGGCTGGGTCCGAAGGCAGTAGTTGGCGGCTCTATAGCGGTCATGGCTGACAAGGATTAGTTTCATTTTCGTCCCAGAACATGTGGGAGTACAAGGAAACGAGCAAGCTGATAGGCTTGCAGGTAAGACTACTGTGAAAGCCGGACAAGCCATGGACCAGGCTGATTTACTGAATGACTAACAGAGTTAAGACGTTTGTGTGACCAGCTGAGAACTGTAAATCTGCAACCATGGTCAGACTGCAAGAACAACATGTTAAACAAGGTGTCGCTAAACAAGAACACTATGCGGGTAGTCAAAGAAGAATAATAAACCAACAGAGAACTGGTGTCGTTAGCTGCTACAAGCTGCGAGATTTACTGAGGAGGGGATCTGACGTGAAATTGGGATAATCTGTCAAATAACTAACTAACTAACAGATAAATATTTAATCAAAGCAATGTTTCCTGCTTCAGAGTTTACTGCTGTAGCAATCACCACCGTCATTCACTTACATGACCGGTCTTCTCTTTCAGCTGGAGACCCCAAGTGTTTGTAGGGTTGCCAGTATATTATCACTCCACCGTTTCCTTGGTCTGCCTCGTGATCTACGACCATTCAACTCTTTTGTGGGTGAGTGCAGATTTTATTACTGCCTTTATCTGCCAGCCATTATGGTGCTCATGATGCCAGCAATAAGTGATTTCACAGATTATGAATTTCGTTGTAGCTTCTCACTGTCTCCGTTCCCTGCTGTTTGCATCTTTGATGGGTCCAAAGATTCGTCAGATGACTCTGTTTTCAAAAGACTGTAATAAGACTTGGGCTGTTTTAGCTGAACTCCAGGTTTCACGGTCATTTTGAACTACTGGTTTCCCCAAACTTGCTCCGTTCCTGTGCCAGTGAAAATCAAATGAAATGTCCCTCACTGTTGCACATGAAAAACTGGTGAAGGATGAATCAACAACTGGTTCTAGAACAATCTAGAAATATGTGCCCGCAGCAAATGCGTTATTTCAGTTGTAGGCTTCCCAGTATATTATCTCTCCACCGTTTCCTTGGTCTGCCTCGTGGTCTACGACCATTCAACTCTTTTGTGTGCGTGCAGTTTTTATCACTACCATTCTCTGCCAGCCATTATGGTGCTCATAATCCCAGCAATAAAGGATTTCACAGATTATGAATTTCACTGTTGCTTCTCACTGTCCATCAGTGTTGCCACTTTGGATGTTTTACATCCAGATTTAGATATTTTTGTCAGATGACTCTGTTTTCAAAAGACTGTAATAAGACTTAGGCTGTTTTAGCTGAACTCCGGGTTTCACAGTCATTTTGAACTTCTGGTTTAGTTTAGTTAGTTGACAAAGCCAATAATCGCCACCAGAAATGTAGTTTGTCGTTGATGGAAGTAGTCGGGTACGATAAGTTGGTTATTATACACACACGTAGAATTCTTACATAAGGTACTTCACCAGCTCACACGAAAACCGTGTGAATGCCATGACATAACCGCTGCATAAATGAAAGGCATTCCACAGGAAAAACACAGCTCACAGTGCTGAACCTAGCACGAAAGACAGTAGCTACGGCAGCAAAACCGTAGACTACCATCTTTATGTGGAAACTGCATTAGCAAAGCGCTGTCAGAAGCAAAAATAACTTCAAAGCCAAATAACTTCAAACATTCTGCCATGCCTTTCCTCCATTTTGGCGGGAAGTCAAACTACTGGTCTTATCAGTGCTTTATATATTGTGATCTTGACGTAATATAAGCAACATTAACTACCTCACAAAATGAGGAAACAGAGACAGTTGGAGAGTCACAAGCACCAAGGTCTATTCCAGATGGAAAATAAAGTAGGAGGAGGAAAAGAAAGAAGAGAAAAGAAGACAAAAATGAAGATGAGAAAGAAGAATAAATAAAAAAAAAGGAGAAAGTTGGAGTGTCTAGCGGCTACACCACGGGGACCACAAATACAACCAGAGAAGGTACAAATGAAACGCTACCTCAGAAACAGACTTGTCCAGCACAAACTGATGCAGCAACTGACCGCTCCAGTTGTCGTAGAAGCCGGCCATCAAGAGATGGTACAAGTCACATTTACTGTTCTGATCCCTGGTGGACACCACGATGATCATTTCCAGGTCGTCACAGTACGTCATGGTCAGTACTACCTGATGGCAAAAATCAGGTGGTCATTGTAGAGACTGAGACAGGTTCTGACCACCACATAATCTTCTTAGTTAATCGACCGATCATCCTTGCCGTACATTGGCCAACCCATCAAAAAATCTTCATGTTGTTAGTTAATCCACTAATCAAGCCATCAAATATTCTTCACGTTGTTAGTTAGTTAATCAACCGATCATCCTTGCCGCACATCGGCCAAGCCATCAAATAATCTTCATGTTGTTAGTTAAATGATCGATTAACCTCATCGCACATAGACCAAGCCATCAAATAATCATCATGTTGTTAGTTAGTTAATCAACCGATCATAATCATCGCATACTGAACAAGTCCATAAATGTGCGCATCCAATCTTCAGTATATCCCTCAGCGTATGACGACTGACAACACCCGTTCTGTGTTAGTTTACTACTCTTCTTTGGCTACCTGTGTAGTGTTCATTCTTCAGGTCTGGCAAGAACTCTTAAGACATGAAGTTCTGGCAGTCTTGTGAAGGCTGCCAATTCACCATCTTCTTCTGAATTATCTACTCATTGTCGTTATCGGAAATCATAACACTTATCAAGGGAAAATACAAGGAATTGTGGAGAGAACAAATTAACAGTAAACATCCACAGGACACCGTCAGCAAACTCAACAGAAATCAAAATACAATCAATTTTCCGTCTACAAACAAGACACTGCAGGCTCAACTACAACATGCATAAAATAAAGATTGTACAGTCCCCACAGTGTGCCTGTCAAACGACCCCAAACACCTCAGCACATTCTGCAGACCTGCCCACTCTATCTACAACTTCGAAACAACAACTGGCCTCAAGAGCAAAGTGTGCAGAGCAAGCTATGGGGGACCATGAAAGACCTGCTACTGATATGCAAGTTCATAGAGGCAACCCACCTGATGGTCTAATCTGAGCATACGAAACCGAAGACAAAGAAGAAGAAGAGGGAATCATAAACTCGTTCTGCCCCCTTGAGAACATCGGTGGGTCAGTTGCTTTTCCTGTACCTACTGTGGTCCTGCCAGCAAGCCAGTCCGCTCGCTTATTAACTCCCACCCCAGTGTCTCGGCACAAAAATGGGTGCTTTATTAATATCCTACCCCAAACAGCAACAAATGAACAAACTCAGGTGTAATTGCTCACCACAAGGAAGATAAATAAATAAGATAGCAAAGGAACCGTCCTTGAAAAAACAGGCCATCAGGTGGCTAAAAAAGGACTAAGCTTGGAATTTTTGTTTTGATTCTATACGATACAATACAGGGGAAATCCACAGGTCACGGGACAGTCTAATATTTCAGGGGGGTGGTAGATAGGCTGCATGCAGTCGTGGGACCTAGGCTGCATGAATTCATGAGACCAAGGCTGCACTCTCTCGTGGGATGTAAGTCGGTTGGGGTTATGGTCAGTTCTACATGTTTGGGGTCATTAAAAGCATCAGAAAGCCTGGAAACCCAGTCTTACCACCCTCTGAAACATTAGACAGTCCTGTGATGTCATCTGGGGTAAGATATTAATAAAGAACCCAAAAATGAAACTGACCAGGTAATTGCAGTTACAACTTCACAACAAGCAGGTCGCTTCATAGCTGCTGTGTTCCTGTGACAGTGAAAACCCACACAGAATGTCCATCACAGTGTCTTGTGGACAAGCTTAAACAGACTACAGTCTCTCACCAAAGGCAGCCATAAGAAGTGCCAACACAAACAGTCCAGCACACATATCCCTCATCCTTGCTACAACTACCACACACACACACATCCTTCACCCAGGCTGCTGATTTGCTGTAACTACCACACAACTACCCCACACACAAATAACCCTCACCTTGTCCACCAGCTCGCTACCACTACCACACAACTACCACCCCTCACACACAACTATGACAAACACATCCCTCACCCTGTCCACCAACGTGTTGCAGTCCTCAATGACCCTCTGTTTGATCACCCTCCCGGACTGTGACACTCTCACAACTGGAGACTGAAAAAGAACAAAAAAACGTTAAGAAATAACTCATAAAATATCATCCTGTATCATTAAAACCTCCACAACTAAAAATGTGTGGCATCGCAAACACACTTCTACTGCTGCTTTATGTTCAGCTATACATTCTGGTATAAAGTTCTGGTTGTTCGTCCATTTCTGGACTTTGATCTTGTACTAGAACTTGAGTTTTTCATGTAATTCTGATTTACAGAAGTAAGAGGAGAAGAAGGAGAAGAAGAAGAAGCAAATGATGATGAAGAAGGAGGAGGAGAAAAAGAATATATGAGCAAAAGAAAGTAGCTAACTGGACTCAGTCTTACCTTTGGCACCGGACTAAAGTCAATCACAAAGTCCTCCACCAAGCGATGTTCATTGCCACCACTTCCTGCTGCCAGTTTCAACAACCTGGAGAATGATTCATGTCATAAATTATGTTTTCTGCTGCCATTTTCAACAGCCTGGAGATTGATTCAGGCCATAAATTATGTTTTCTGCAATCAGTTTCAACAGCCTGGAGAATGATTCATGTCATAAATTATGTTTTCTGCTGCCAGTTTCAACAGCCTGGAGAATGATTCATGTCATAAATTATGTTTTCTGCTGCCAGTTTCAACAGCCTGGAGAATGATTCATGTCATAAATTATGTTTTCTGCTGCCAGTTTCAACAGCCTAGAGATTGATTCAGGCCATAAATTATGTTTCCTGCTGCCAGTTTCAACAGCCTGGAGATTGATTCAGGCCATAAATTATGTTTTCTGCTGCCAGTTTCAACAGCCTGGAGATTGATTCATGCCATAAATTATGTTCACCTACAAGGATTCTTGTCTACCAGAGTTAAGGCCTGGGTTAAAATCCATCCGCTAGTTCCAAAACTGACCTTGGTTCCCACACTAACCCGGCCTAAAATTGGTGCCAAGTTTTGAAGTTTGAACAAGAAATCAACACACGGGTAGATGACCATAAGTGCTCTGTTCTTCTTCTAACTCAAGTCTGAGTCCGAAGAAGCTCAGCACAGTGCACAGGCTCTGTAGCACCGGCGAGGATCCCGAAGAACTAAGAGATGACAGAGAATTAGACAACTATAACCACATTCAACCCGCTTCTATGCAAGCTTCGGTTATATTTGTGGTCATTTTATTCCATGCTGAATAATCTTGTTTTTGCCCTTTCCTTGTAGCATATTTGTTCTTCACTTTGCAGGCCACCCATGTCTGTCGTGGTCCAGAACAGCGCGGTTTCCGCTGTGGTGATGAGGAGGTGTTGAGTGGTGGAAAAGACTTTTTAACCTCTGCTGCCATCCACCTTGCTCATGGTCTTCGGAAGTTCTGTGGTGTCTTTTCTGCAGGTTGCTGTAACTCCTGCTTTTTGCCTTTGGGTTCTGGTGTGAAAACCCTGACCCTGCTAGTGGGGTGTTAAGTATTTTTTTTTTTTTTTGAAAGTGTTGCCACTGGTTGGGTTTGTTGTCTGTCTCATGGTCCGAGTCCTTATTATATGGTTCGAGCTTCACCCACATGGCATCCTTCTGATTCAGGTGCTTTTTTTTTTTTTTTTTTTTGGATATTTTTTTGTTCTACCATCCTTTCTTCATTGTGTTTTCTTGCCTCTACGGCTGTGGTCTCCAACCTTGGGAGTGCAAGGAGGTTTCACGGGGGTTGGGAGGGTCTAACGTAGCACTGGTGTAAACAGGGCCCTTTGCAATTTTTTATTTAAATTAGTTGTGTATCCTTTACAGGACGTTGCAGAACCAACCCCAGCACTTTCTGACTGTTGTGGTTTTTCTAGGCAAATTGACGTCCAGTGATTTGCCATTGCTTACTGGATGGTCGGCTCTCGGTACCATTGTCGAAACCAGCGCAAGACACGCCGTACGCAGCAGGGATCAAACCCGACACCCTGGCATTACAAAGCGTGTTCGCCATGCCTAAACCACAGACGCAGAGCCCTTTGCTTTACTGCATGCTTATCACAAACCACAAAGAAAAATTGCAATATTTATGTTCTAGAGTGAAGATGGGAGGTGGTAGTGCTGTGGATAAAATACCTGCCAGTAAACTAAAGACTCCTAGGTACATATCATGAAAATCACCCCATCTCGTCAGCAGCACGATTATTGTGCCGGCTCCCATTCATGCCCCAGCAGTTCCCACAGGCTGTCCTATGTTGCAGGGGTGTTAGGATATGCATTCCTTTACCTTGGCCGTCTATACACCCGCTCGAGCGTTTAACCAGTTTTCTTTTCTCTGTCAACTAGGTCCCTTGTGCAACCACAGTGGTTTGAAAATTGTCGACATTCTGGAGCAGGTTCTGGGTCAAGTCAACAAGCAACGCCGCAGTGATGGTGATGAAGAGCCAAGGCAAAATACAAGTAACACTTACGGTGCCAACCGCTTACAACATGGAAATAAAACATGCTGGCCGCTCACAACATAGAATACAGAATGCTTATAGTGATGAAAATAACAAAACATGACACCCCTAGAACATAGGGCAGACTGTGGGAAATCTCACACGCGACGAGATGGGGTGATTTTCATATGTGCCTACTCCTGTGACACAGGCAGCTTTTAACAATTTATATGAGTTCCCAGATTAATCTAGCTTGATAAGAGCAAATCACAGATTTTCATTCTTGTTCTTGTTGCTATTCTTCTTCTTCTTCTTCTTCTTCTGCTCCTCCTCCTGCTTCTTCTTCTTCTCCTCCTCCTCCTCCTCTTCTTATAATTCTTCTTCTTCTCCTGCTCTTCTTCTTCTTCTTCTTCTTCTTCTTTTTCTTCTTTTCAGTGTCAGGTTTTGAAGAGGCATGGAGTTCAAATAAAGGAACAGGTGGACAGACTGGCTGCTGCTGTTTCTCTGGGCAGTGAGCTATTTTATGATGAAGCAGGCATGGTGAAAGCTCTCTGGAATCAAGTGAACAGTGCCACAGGACAGTCAGGGTACCTGTACCCCAAGAGACTGATTCAGCGGGGAGTGAGAAGAGGATCTGGGTGTTTTTTCAACAGCCGGCAATAAGGGTTGACTTCTAATCAGGTTGCAAATGACATAAGAATGGAAACTTTTTGTTGTCTTGTGTGGAAGGAGACGGAGCATGTGTGGGAATGTCCTGAGTGCAGTGATGTCAATCCTTGATTCATTCATTTCTTTTTTCATTCCTGTCTTCATTCAGTTTAACTCCAAATGGGTACCATGAAATGTGGGAAGCAAAGGCTTCTGGCATGTTACGGACTCCATCAATCTTCAGTTGCCAATTGGATAATAAAAACTATGAAGACAAATATGTCTTTGGCTGTGGACGATAGTCTTTTCAACAAAATCTAAAACAAATGGGAAGAAACAGAGGCCTTTTGGAACAATAAAGTAAAACAATGTAAAGATCCCTTTTCACATCTTTTATGTGCATCGGGCAATGTGGTCATCTTTACTTCTCCAGGACAGCTCAACCTGGTACCCATTTTAGGCTGGGTCTACCGGCGACGCCCCATACCATGATAAATATCCACGCAGCCAGCAGTGGGTTTCGATCGCGGTATGTTGGAATTGTGAGTCAGACTCGCAACACCTAAGCTACAGACACCACGCATTGGAATAACACACACTGGTAAATTTCACTGAGAAACAAAGAGTGAAATGGTGCGGCCACGTGGTGAAAATGAATCCAATGATGCTGGTAGGAGGAAAGGAAAAAAAAATGGAAACGCAAAGAGACAGAGGAAGACCTAGAAGAAGAAGAAGAATTAAAGGAGTCAATGACAGGGATTACACAACATCATGACATAGTGAGCAGCCGAGCAGGCCCTGGCTCAGCCACCTATCATCTACTAAACTGTCACACCTAGTGGCACAACACAGATACTGACACAAGAAGAAGATTTAAATGACAATGATGATGATGATGGAGATGATAATGATGATGATGACAATGATGATGATGATGACAATGATGATGATGATGATGGAGTTGATAGTAGTAGAACAAGTCCTACCTCAGCTGTGAATTTTTCATGTGAACAATTCTGCCAGAGTCGTCGGCATGCAGAGAAACTCGCTCTTCAAATTCACATTCTTCCGCCTCCAGAAGACCTCCCTCCACCTGGAAAATCCAAATTTCTCAGCTACAGCAAAACTCGTCATCAAAGAACAACAAATGAAGTGGTTTGGACACCTAACAAGAATGCCCTGGTACTATCTGCCACAGCGAGAAACACTAAAACATTACAACAGGTATAGAGCGAGCTGAAGACTTCGGAAAATATGGAGTGAGAAGTAAAAACTGTATATACGAGGTAGATGAATGTTCGTAGACCATGAGGCAGACCAAGAAGACGATGGAGAGATAATATCCAGACAGACCTGCAAACACTTGGTGTCACCAACTGGAAAGAGAAGGCCAACCAGAGAGATGAATGGAGGCAGGTAATATCCACAGCAATGAACCTCAAGGGCTCGGAATGCTGAACGAACAAACGAACGAACGAACAAACAAATTTATTTTCAACGGGTTACAAATTGGGCACGCAGGCCCGTCTGACATTCAGCCCTTCTAAGCACTCGTTTTTCAGAGTACCAATGCCTGTTATCTAAAATGCATGTTATAGATATAGAATAAAAATATACATTATAGAATATAATACATACATCATGTGTACACAATCTTACACACTCACACATATATATATATTTGTGCTCTCACATTCTCATACATGAACACTCATATACAGACATACCTAACACATACATAGATACATATATACATCTAGATATATGCACAAACAGAAAAGACACACACATACATATATGGACATATATGCACACACACATTCCATACATACACACCTTCACATGCATGCATGCATACACATACATACAATCACATGTACAGACACCCACAAACACACATTTACACTCACATGTAAACATACATACACACATATACATACACACATCAATACATACACCTACATCTTTAAGAAGAAGAAGAAAAATGTTTTTAAGCAGATTCGTGTCAGGTAATCAGGTATGAGGTAATCAAAGTCCCAACTTCACAGCAAACAAGTCAGCCCATTGGTTGCTCAGTTTCTGTGTCGACAAGAACCATACTCAATGTCCATCACTGACCTCTCTGACAAACCTGCAGTCCCAGCAGAGCCAAAAGCCATACACAAAGCATTAAATGCATACACCAGCGATGAGAAATGCCAACACAAACAGTCCAACACTTGTAAGGTATGCCAACACAAGCAGTCCACCTCTTGTAAGGCATTCTAACACAAACAATCCAACCTTTGTAAGGCATATTAACACAAACAACCCAACCCTTGTAAGGCATTCTAACACAAACAACCCAACCTTTGTAAGGCATGCTAACACAAACAGTCCAACCTTTGTAAGGCATGCTAACACAATCAGTCCAACCTTTGTAAGGCATTCTAACACAAACAACCCAACCCTTGTAAGGCATTCTAACACAAACAACCCAACCTTTGTAAGGCATTCTAACACAAACAACCCAACCCTTGTAAGGCATTCTAACACAAACAACCCAACCCTTGTAAGGCATGCCAACACAATCAGTCCAACCTTTGTAAGGCATGTTAACACAAACAGTCCAACCTTTGTAAGGCATGCTAACACAATCAGTCCAACCTTTGTAAGGCATATTAACACAAACAATCCAACCTTTGTAAGGCATATTAACACAAACAATCCAACCTTTGTAAGGCATATTAACACAAACAACCCAACCCTTGTAAGGCATTCTAATACAAACAACCCAACCTTTGTAAGGCATGCTAACACAAACAGTCCAACCTTTGTAAGGCATATTAACACAAACAATCCAACCTTTGTAAGGCATATTAACACAAACAATCCAACCTTTGTAAGGCATATTAACACAAACAACCCAACCCTTGTAGGGCATTCTAACACAAACAACCCAACCTTTGTAAGGCATGCTAACACAAAGAGTCCAACCTTTGTAAGGCATGCTAACACAATCAGTCCAACCTTTGTAAGGCATTCTAACACAAACAACCCAACCCTTGTAAGGCATTCTAACACAAACAACCCAACCCTTGTAACGCATTCTAACACAATCAGTCCAACCTTTGTAAGGCATTCTAACACAAACAGTCTGGTCTTTGTAAAGCATGCTAACACAAACAATCCAACCTTTGTAAGGCATGTTAACACAAACAGTCCAACCTTTGTAAGGCATGTTAACACAAACAGTCTGGTCTTTGTAAAGCATGCTAACACAAACAATCCAACCTTTGTAAGGCATGTTAACACAAACAGTCCAACATTTGTAAGGCATTCTAACACAAACAATCCAACCTTTTAAGGCATTTTAACACAAACAATCCAACCTTTGTAAGGCATATTAACACAAACAACCCAACCTTTGTAAGGCATTCTAACACAAACAATCCAACCTTTGTAAGGCATGTTAACACAAACAGTCCAACCTTTGTAAGGCATGTTAACACAAACAACCCAACCTTTGTAAGGCATGCTAACACAAACTATCCAACACTCGAAATGCAGTTCAGCGTTGATAAAAGCAGCAATTACACAGATCAGTAGTTGCACACGCAATTAATCGCTACTCGACTTATATGCTCCAATTTGTAGTAACAACTTAAAGAAGCAAAAGCCGACACAAATCCAACTTACAATTTGGCGTGTCTGGAAGGAGTAGCAGCAGTAGCCGTTGGCCTTTCCTATCGGCCACATGACGTAGTAACAGGGGGGCATGGTAATCATTACATCACGGTTCCGACATCGCACTTCAAACAGGCAAGGTGGCGGCTCTGTCACAGTTGTGGAAATGTAAGGTTCTGTGAGATTTATCATCTGTGGCATTTTTGTATGTGCGTGTGTTTGTGTGCATGTGTGTGAAAGAGAGAGGGAGAGAGACAGTAAGAAAGAGAGAGAGGGATGCTGACACAGTGAGAGAGAGCAAGAGCGTGAGAGACAGAGAAAGTGGAACAGTGAAAAAGTGCAAGCTATAGAGAAAATAAAAGGGGAAGGGTGAGAGAGAGAGAAAGAGAGAAAGTGTGAGTTAGAGAGAGGGAGAGACAGAGAAATTGTATGAGAGACAGTGAGTTGGAAAAAGGGTAGGAAAGAGAGAGGGGGAGACAGAGAGGGAGAGAAAGTGAGAGTTACAAAAAGTCATAGTGACAGAATTAGAGAGGGAGTGAGAGAGAAAAAGCAAGAAAGTGATAGACAATGCGTGTGAGTGTAAGAGAAAGAGCAAGAAAGTGAGAGACCATGCGTGTGAGTAAGTGAGTGAGTGAGTGAGTGAGTGAGTGAGTGAGTGAGTGAGTGAGTGAGTGAGTGAGTGAGTGAGTGAGTGAGTGAGTGAGTGAGTGAGTGAGTGAAAGAGCAAGACGAGTGAGTGGTGTGGTGTGTATAGGTGGGGAATGGGTGTGTATGTCAAAGTGGATGGTCGGAGACATGGCAGTGAGTCAACAAGTGGCATTTTATAACAGCTTGTGGGCAGAGATTTCCGTCTGTCAACTTTGATATCAGAGTCCTGTCCGTTAACTGTGTGCACGCGGGCGTGTGTGTGCATGCCAGAGAGAGAGGGATAGAGAGAGAGTGGCAGGGGAGAAAGAGAGACAGGGGAATCGCACCCAGTAGGATTAACCCTACCAGACCTGAGGCCCTGAACCTAACTGTCCCCTATACCTGAGGCATTACCGCGAAAAAACCAACATGATATACAAAACTATTCGTTACAAGCAAACAAGTGGCTAGAATAAGACGAAACATGGAGACATTATATAAAATAGGCTTATCTTTTATCTAGTGCCAATATTCCACCTTTGTGTGCCAATCCACTCAGGAGGATCAGGATTGTTTCACAAAGTGAGCACCTGATGTCGCTGTTTTAGGGACACGCCCCCTTCTCTTACTACCGATCTCTTTCTAGATTTATAATTTTCAAGATTCTCCGCATTATTCGAGCTGAATGTGTCACTCCAACTGTGAACGTATTCTTCATGAAATTATGACTCCGCAGAGTCTGAATAAAGCAAAGTATGGATCACCTGTTGGACTGTAAAAAGCCTAGACCTACTTTACTTTCCTGTCGAAGTGCTTGGTTCATCAGCTGCTCGTTTTATTGTGAATTTTCAAAATTGTTTCATGTAAAACAACAAATTTTATCCAAACACACAAGAGCGGACATCTAGGAAAACTATTCACGAGGTCTGATTAAGATTGGCTAGTTATTTTTAGTTTGCGACGCATCTTTTACACACACTACGCAAAAAGCCGAAAATTAGGGCCAGCGGTATAGCGCCAGGTTAAGAAATTCCCAGGAAATCAGGCCAGCGGTCTTGTAGGGTTAAGAAAATGTTGGTGTTTATGGACATTAAATACCCTGTGGGAATGCCAGAATATGGACACAGAAACAAACAGCAGGATGAAGAAAGCGTGTAGTGCAAATGGAAATCAATCAGCTTCGAGCTACCCTTTTCACATTGCCCGCTTGTGTATGAGTGAGTGCGTGAGTGAGTGTGTGCCTGCACATTTCTGTTTGTCTGTTTAAATAAAAATTGTATGAATAAGAAAAGTGAGTTCTACAAATCTTGTCATGTGGTCTAGTCTAACCTTTCAGCGTGATGTTGTGTTTCAAGTGACAAGGATGTACTCCGTGTCTACTGCCATCTTTAAACTCCTGGTACAGCGTGTAGCCATCCATCTTGCTCTGGAATACACAAGAAAAGTTAATTACGTCTGCTAAGACTTTCTGTCTTCTTCTTCATGTTCATCATCATCATCATGTACCAGATCCTTTGCAGAACCTCGCTCTCATCACAATCTGCCTGAAAGAAACTTGGTCTCTCACCAGCTCTCTCGCCTCAAGAACTTTCACACTCAAGGAGTCACTTATATCCTGTGCACATCTTTGTGTTGGTCGGCCCCTGCTCCTCCTTCCTGGTACCATGCCTTCTGCTATAATTCTTTCCAATCCGTCGTGGCGCTTGATATCACCAAAATATTTCAGCTTCCGAGACAGGATGCTGTTTATTAGCCAATCTTCCTTGATGTTCAGATCTTTCAAGATGTCAGTATTTCTTCTCTTCTTTGTCCATGGTATCCTGAGAATCTTTCTATAACATTTCAGCTCAAAAGCCTCTTAGCCTTCACCTGCTGCAATCCCGGGTTTTGGTTGTTCTTGGTTTGGTCATGTTTCAGAACTCGAGTTTTGCATTCTTCTTCTTCTTCGCGTTCACCGGCTGTGAACTCCAGCGGAAAGTTCTGGTTGTTCGTCCACTTCTGAACTGCAGTCCTGTTCCAGAACCTGAGTGTTGCATGCGCATCCGTTTGACAGATCTATATGCAGACTGTTGGTTCCTTGCCTCTCAGGCAGATGCACTCCGACTTCAAAGGAAGCTCCCAATTAGTTGACTCTTACGACATGCTTTTGGGTAGGCAGTAAGTCTATTCTTGTTTTTCCCATAGTAGGGCCCGGAACCCACACGGGTAAGTTTTGCATTAACTGTGGGGGTTCCGGGGTCCCACTGTGGTGGGAAAACAAGAAGAGAAACACTGTCTACCCAAAAAAATCAGCGTGTCGCAAGAGCCGACATCATTGCATACTGGACATTCCCATCTATGCTAACCAGAGGGTCTGGCCGGCCCACTACACTCAGAGGAAAGGCAAGAGGGACATATAACCAGATTGTGACCGGTACCATCAGTATTAAAACTCTGCGCTGGCTACTGAAGATGAGGATGGAGCATGCATGGGAATGCTCTGAGTGCTGCGATATCAATTACTGACTCAACTCAACTCAACTCAACTCCCATCCATGCTGTCCTTCAATGTAGCAGCCATTGCAAGGTACTTCTACTAATTGTTCCCATGAGAGACTGGTTATATTGTCTCCTATCTTGGCCTTGAAGGTGGCATAGATTTGCTTCACCATGCTTTACTCCCATGTCATGCAGTCATGTTAGTGTCACAGATTCATCACCATCCACTAGTTCAGTCTATACAGCGTTGATGACATCTGCTCTGTCCAGGCTTCTTTCCCCATGCGTTGGTGTACTGCTTACCAGTTGGTCCGCACACTCATTACCCTTTTCGCTAGCATGACCTGGTGTGTAGATCCAGACGATCCAGTGGTACGACTGAAAGTTGAAGTGCGTCTGCCCGAGCGGCCAGGTACAACCAAATGCACATGAATAAGCAGAACGGCAGATGTGCACGCAAAACTCAGTCCCTGGCACAAAGTCCAAATGGGCAAACAACCAGAAAATGTAGTCGATCTTACAGCCGGTGAACAAGGAAAAAGAATAATTTTACATGTAAATCCATTTCACAGATCTGGATTATTTGTGTGCAGACTGTTGGTTCCTCACATCTTAGGCAGATGCCCTCTGACTTATTCACTTTTTGTAACATGCTTGTTAAGGGGCGACCGTGTTATTCTTTGTCGCTCAAAATGGGGCACCAAAAACCAACACACAGGGAAGAGATTTCCTATACACAGATTATTATAGACTTTACATCTATTATTATAGATTGCAGACACATTATTATAGACTTTACATACATTATTATAGATTGTAGACACACTATTATTGACTCTACATATAATACTATCAATTATACACACATTATTATAGACTCCACATATATTATTATAGATTATACAAACATTACTAGAGACTACATATATTATTATAGATTATAAAAGTTAAGATCCTTTTTTACGCCTTTAGACACATCGGGCATGTGGGAAGAGCACCCATATTTTTACAGACCAATCAGCACTAGGTGGGTAATGCGGTCAGCGTTACGCCTGTGATCTTTACTTCCCCAGGACAACCATCCTGGTACCCATTTTAGGCTGGATCGACCTGTGACGACCTATACCACAATAAAAATCCATGCAGAGAGCAGTGGGTTTCGATCGCGGCACATTGGAATTACAAGTCGGACTCGCAACGCCTAAGCTACGGACGCGGTTATAATAGATTATATACACATTATTATAAACTATACATATATTATTATAGATTATACACACATTTTTATAAACTATACATATATTATTATAGATTATACACACATTAGTATCATCATCGTGTAGCAGGTCCTTTGCAGAACGTCGCTCTCATCACAGTCTGCCTGAAAGAAACTCGTTCTCTCGCCAGTTCTCCCGCCTCATGTACTTTCATACTCAAGGAGTCACCTATATTCTGTGCCCATCTTCGTGTCGGTCAGCTTCTGCCCCTCCTTCCTGGTACCATGCCTTCTGCTATAATGTTTTTCCAATCCGTCGTGGCCAAAATATTTCAGCTTTCCAGAAAGGATGCTGTTTATTAGCCAATCTTTCTTGATGTTCAGATCTTTTAAGATGTCAATATTTCTCATCTTCTTTGTCCAAGATATTCTGAGAATCTTTCTATAACATTTCAGCTCAAAAGCCCCTATTCTCTTTCTCAAGGACTGAGAGATAGTCCACGACTCACATCCATATTTAGTCACAGGGAAGATACATGCTCTCAAAATTCTAATTTTGATCTTCTTGCTATGGCCATCCTCCTTTTAATTTCTGTCGAACAGTCTCCACTGTTGTTTGCAATCGTTCTCTTCCCCAGTTCGTGCATTAGTATAGACTACACAAAATATTATAGATTATATTTACATTTTAAAGACTACATACCCGGAATGATACACTATACACACATAATTATAGACTATACACACCCATTGATAGACTATTCACACATTATTATAGACCATACACAATTATTAATACTTTCCACAAAATATTAGATAGACTATATGTACATTATTATGGACTATACACACATTATTATAGACAATAAACACACAATTATTGACTAAACACACATAACTATAGACTACAAACATAATTATAGACTATAAACATGTAACTATAGATATACACACATGCATATAGATTATTTACACATAATTAAAGACTATACATACATAATTACAGACTATACATACATAATTACAGACTAAACATACGTTGTTCCATCCTGTAGACGGTATAAAAACATGAACTATAGAAATAGTTTTGGACTATGCAAATAAACACAGCAAGTAGACGTTGTTCTACCTTGTCCAATATCCTCTCGAGACTATACATGCGAACGTAGTTTGTGGAATGCATCACCATCAGGATGTTTAGAAAGACTGATGCTTCAACTGCATCTCTGCCAAACACCTGAAGACAACAATCATCTCTATATATGTTATTTGTTCACCATAAGGATGTTTAGAAAGATTGATGCTTCGACAGCATCTCTGCCAAACATCTGTAGACAACAATCATCTCTATATATGTTATTTGTTCACCATAAGGATGCTTAGAAAGATTGATGCTTCAACTGCATCTCGGCCAAACATCTGTAGACATCAATCATCTCTATATATGTTATTTGTTCACAGAACCAACCTGAAAGTCTGTTTTGTCTTCTGTCTTTCATTCCCCAATCAGCACTGTTCTTTAGATATATTTTTCCCAAGGCATTCAGTTGTGCTGGGAAATTTTCTTTTAGTGTTCATTCGGTGCAAACTTGGCAGAATGTTCTGGATGTTTGGCCACTTCTGGAATTTACAGCTGGTGAATGCGATAAAGACGATGACATGCCTGTTAGGGGACAGTGGGGATCTATACCCCCCCCCCCCCCTTTTTTTTAAATGGTTGCAGTAATGAACCTTAAGGGTTCGAAAGAAAGAAAATGTTATGTTCACAGCAATCTACAGAATAGCTGGGTAATTGAACAACTGATTATTATGCATACTGGACAGGTCCATAAGCGCTCAGATCCCATCTTTAGCATCTCCCTCAGCATGTGGCAACTGATAACACAAGTTCTGTGCTGGTTTACTATTCTCTGGCGACCTGAATAGTATTCATGTCCAGCGACACCTCTACTGACATGAAGTTCTTGTAGACTTGTCAAGATTGCTGATTTACGGTTGTCTCCTGAGATCTACTCGTCCCGCCTCCTTGAGAACAACGGTCTGGTCCACTGATTTTCCTGTGCCCACTAGGGCCCTGCCAGCAAGCTAACCCACTCGTTCATTCCATCTTACTCCAGAGTGTTCTGGCACATTAATGAAACTGATTCCCATTTTCTCAGAGATTCTAACTATTGTCTTCAAACCCAAGCTATCTGGATCTGGTACTTTATTAATATCCTACCCCAAGATGATGTCACAGGACAGTCAAACATTGTAGAGGGTAGTATGACTGGATATCCCGACTTTCTGATGCTTTTAACGATACCAAAAAATCTAGAACTAGCCCTAACCCGAACCTACCTACATCCCACGGGAGAGTGCAGCTTAGGTCCCACGAGTGCATGCACCCCCTGAAATATTAGACTGTCCTGTCCCATGAGCTGTGGATTTCCCCTGTTTCATCATCATAATCATAAACCACTTCTGCCGTTAAGCGTCGTGGGCAGGAATAATTTGCGATCCAGTGCACGTTGGCTGCCACTAGCTATTGTCATGCCGTGAAGGCGTAGAGTGTCTTTGATGTTGTCGATCCATATTTTCCTCGGCCGTCCTCTTGCTCTTGTAGCTGATCTTCTGAGATGTAGTGCTTGTGATGGTATTTGATCTTGCTGCATTCTAACGAGATGACCAAACCACTTGATCTGCTGTTTCACGATGAATCTAGTACAAGGTGTCGTTTCCACAATTCACCTGATAGTTTCATTATTCATTCCCCTGTTTAGGGTAGAATATTAATGAAGCAACCTGGATCTTCTTAAGCATGTTCATGGAATCAGTTAAAAAGCAAAACATAAAACTAGTATCAAGTTAGTAAAGAATAATTTGTCACTGCACCTTTCGGGTGATGGCAAACTGGCATACAAACTCCAGCGGCATGCAGGACATGATCGTTAAATGCATAACTTCCTGGCCAGTCTCATTATTGGGAACCTGCAAAGATGAAAGTATCCGGATAAAATATAATGTCACTGGCGATGAGACAAAGATAATAAAAATAAAGATAATGCAGACACAGACAATGTCCTCCTCAGCATTCCTGGCCAAAGCTTTAACAATAAAAATGAGTAACCCACTCTTATGTAAGCAGAAGGAATTCATTATCAATTTGAAGTTACCCTGTTAGTAAAGTAAAAGTAGAGGACCCTTTTCCACGCCTTTAGGCGTATAGGGCATATAGCACTAGACCTATATTTTAAAAACCAATCGGCACAAGATGGGTGATGTGGTCAGCATCACGCCGGCCGCCTTTACATCCCGGGACTGCCCCCGGTACCCACTCAAGGCAGGGTCGACCAGGAAGCCAAGGTCCTTTATTAAAAGTCTGGCTCCGCCAGGGAGCGAACCCACGACCTTTACCCTGGTAGGTCAAGTCACAAAAGTGAACTTCCAGTGATTAGATGAACATGAGTTACAAGAGCAACCTTTTTTTTTTTAAATTTTAGTGGGGTCTATTTAGTTTTAGTTTGCTTCGTTATATCTTGCTGTAACTCTTTAGTAATGCACCTGATGAGATCATCGAAATATGTCAGGCAATAAATTTTGCAATGTATTGTGTCCGCATTATTTAAATTCCTTACCCGAAAACACTGTTTTGAATAGTAAGAATAAATATAGCAAATTCCCTGTATGGGCCCGTTTAGGGGATGGGGGGAAGAAACATTTCCACTGCCTCGTTACAAGTATCTCGTAGGAGGCAACAAGGGGGTGTTTCCTTCAAAGAAGGAGTGTATCTGCTTGATAAGAAATGAACAGAGGCAGTAAAAACAATTCATATATATAATAAATAAAAAAACATGAATTGATTGAGAAAGAGAGAAGGACAAACCACACAAATAGAAATCAAAAGATTAAGACACATGTCCAACCGCTAATTCTATGAGTGCTAATCAGTATATGTCTATGGTTGTTTTTTTAAGTATATGTACCTGATAAGCAAGGAACAGATGTGCATGCAATACTCAAGTTCTGGAACAAAGATCTAAGTCCAGAAAGAACCAGAAGTTTTCCCTGGAGTTGACAGACTGAGAACGCAGAGAACAAAGTTTGAAGAAGGGTAAAGAAACAAGAAATGTCTGGGCAAAACATTGGTAACAATTTATAAGGCAAAGAATACGGAGCCCTATTGGACACATCCTGGGTAGAAACTAGATTTAAGTCCAGAAACAACCAGAACTTTCCGCTGAAGTTTACAGGCAGTGAACGCAAAGAACAAAGTTTGAAGAAGGGTAAAGAAACAAGAAATGTCTGGGCAAACATTGGTAACAAGTTATAAGGCAAAGAATACGGAGCCCTAGTGGACACATCCTGGGTAGAAACTAGATTTAAGTCCAGAAACAACCAGAACTTTCCGCTGAAGTTTACAGGCAGTGAACGCAAAGAACACAGTTTGAAGAAGGGTAAAGAAACAAGAAATGTCTAGGCAAACATTGGTAACAAGTTTTAAGGCAAAGAATACGGAGCCCTATTGGACACATCCTGGGTAAGAAACTTGATTTAAGTCCAGAAACAACCAGAACTTTCCGCTGAAGTTTACAGGCAGTGAACGCAAAGAACAAAGTTTGAAGAAGGGTAAAGAAACAAGAAATGTCTGGGCAAACATTGGTAACAAGTTATAAGGCAAAGAATACGGAGCCCTAGTGGACACATCATGGGTAAGAAACTAGATTTAAGTCCAGAAACAACCAGAACTTTCCGCTGAAGTTTACAGGCAGTGAACGCAAAGAACACAGTTTGAAGAAGGGTAAAGAAACAAGAAATGTCTGGGCAAACATTGGTAACAATTTATAAGGCAAAGAATACGGAGCCCTAGTGGACACATCCTGGGTAAGAAACTAGATTTAAGTCCAGAAACAACCAGAACTTTCCGCTGAAGTTTACAGGCAGTGAACGCAAAGAACACAGTTTAAAAAAAGGGTAAAGAAACAAGAAATGTCTGGGCAAACATTGGTAACAATTTATAAGGTAAAGAATACGGAGCCCTATTGGACACATCCTGGGTAGAAACTAGATTTAAGTCCAGAAACAACCAGAACTTTCCGCTGAAGTTTACAGGCAGTGAACACAAAGAACACAGTTTGAAGAAGGGTAAAGAAGCAAGAAATGTCTGGGCAAACATTGGTAACAAGTTATAAGGCAAAGAATACGGAGCCCTAGTGGACACATCCTGGGTAGAAACTAGATTTAAGTCCAGAAACAACCAGAACTTTCCGCTGAAGTTTACAGGCAGTGAACGCAAAGAACACAGTTTGAAGAAGGGTAAAGAAACAAGAAATGTCTGGGCAAACATTGGTAACAAGTTATAAGGCAAAGAATACGGAGCCCTAGTGGACACATCCTGGGTAGAAACTAGCAGAGATACACCAAACAGACACACAAAATTTAAACATTCTTCGTCTTCTTTGCATTCACCGGCTATAAACTCCAGCGGAAAGTTCTGGTTGTTCGTCCACTTCTGGACTTTAGTCTTATCTCAGAACTTCAGCTTTACATATGCTCATCCATTTTACAATACTGGTTTAATTGTAAGCACACTGTTGGTTCCTCGCCTGTTGGTTCCTCGCCTCCCTAATTAGTCGACTCTTACGGACAGCTTGAAGAGTGCCAGCTATGTAACTACCCCTACGAAACTGTTGACCATCATCTCTTTGAGTGCCCAAAACTCAACAAGACTAAAAGAATGCTACTCCCTCCGAGACCAGACAAGTGGAACACCTTGTACGGAGGAAAAGAACAGCTTGTGAAAACATGTAAATTCCACTACATGGCTTTGGGCCAAAGGGCGAATCTCATGTGCTGCTGGATCGATAACAACAACAACGAACAGCTTGCTGGAGGCAGTGATGATTTGTTTTCCCCTACAATGGAGGCCCCAAAACTCATATGGGGAAATTCATTCATTCAAAGAAAAAAACAAAGCAAGTAAGAAGGGGATGAAGATAAAACGACTACAACACAAACCTGTCTCAAAAGATGAGCTGGCCGAGTCTGGGTTAACGTGGAACACAAGGCGAAACTTTCTTCAGCGACATTCCACTGAATCCTTCTGAAAATTCATCAGAGCGGAAAACATGATTATACATTAGAAGTTACTGCAAAAAACAACAAGAAAATTTGATTTTTTTTCAGGCTAGAACAAAAGACCATTTTAATTAGAGGCTAAATAAAAACCCAAATCTTACATTAGAAACTTCAATATATATATATTTTTTTTAATTTACATTAGAGACTTCAATATATTTTTTTTTAAACAGTTTTACATTAGAAACTTCAATATATATAAAAAAAATAGTTTTACATTAGAGACTTCAAGTCGATCAAGTCGAACTAGCAGCTGGCCTCAAAAGTGACAAGAGTCCCTAATCAAAAATACTAGCCACCTAGCTTTTACATTCATTTCGGGGACAATGCCATTTCCATGAATATACTGGGATTCAAACCCACTACACTTTCGTACAGCACTGGTTGAGCCGCTGTCTTCGCCATGCTAGTGAGGTGACACCTGAGGTGAATGGCCCAAATGTGCGCGGGCAGTGTCGACACCACAAACAATGCATGATAACTGTACCAAACTACAGATTCCACTCATACACTTCTAATCCCTAAATAATGCTACGCCCAAATAACTGCTTCAGAATACTGTACAAAACGAATCACAGTTACGACCAAACCTAACAATACACTCAATGTTCGTCACTAACTGGTTGATAACACATTTCACAGCTAACCGGTCTTTGTCGCAAACACGTCACACTCTACATTCTATCTTCTGCGTGTTCGACCTCTGACTCTGTTATTGTTGTATCTGTATAACATTGCTCTCTGTGGGGCCGTGTCTCCTGCCAATCGTGCTACATGACCAAACCATTTGACTTGTTGTCTACTGACAAAGTTCAGTATTGGTTCTGTGCCGACTCTCCTCCTGATATCATTGTTCCTAAGTTGATCTTCCCTCATTGCAAGTAGCAAAGTACGTAAACCTTTCATTTTGTTGGCTATTTTCCTTCCATTATCGATCTAGTTATTCGACCTTTGCTGGGTTAATTTGGACTTCTGTAACCTATGGCGCCATTCCAGGGACATCAGAAGAATACTGCCCGCATTCCATAGTTGTTGGTTCAAGCTGTACAACAGACATGGCTAATGAAGACATCTTTTATTTTAGGAGTGCCTAGTTGGTCATAGTGCAGCGTCATGGCCTGGGCATTGCGAGTTCGACTCTTAAGTCCGACATACCGCGATCAAAACCCACTGCTGGCTGCATGGATTTTTATCATGGTATGGGGCTTTGCAGGTCGACCCAGCCTAAAATGGGTAAGAGGATGTATGTCCTGAGGAAGTAAAGACGGCTGGCGTAATGCTGACCACATTACCCACCTAGTGCCGATTGGTCTGTAAAGACATATCTGTAAAGATATGGGTGCTCTTCCCAAATACCCTATGCGCCTAAAGGCGTGAAAAGGGATCTTTACTTTACTTTACTAGTTGGTCATAGTACACTTGTCCTGCAGCGAGGCACTGTGGTCATTTGTAGGTGAGAGGTCTGATACCCGACATGGTAACCACAACTTGCGATTTTTATGTTATCTGTGTGTTCCTTCTATATTTCCACATCTTTCTATAATCACTACATGTCTATTCGTTATTTGTAGGGCTGTACCGAATATTCGCTTCGTATTCGCTTCGGGGCCGAATAGTGGACCTAATAGCTATTCCTAATAGTGGCGGTCGGGCCGAATACGAATAGTGATTTCTGCATACACTGCGATGGACTGAAATAACTCTCTCATTAATAATGTCACAATTTATAGCCAACTTTTCTTGATTTTTGCCGCGGCTCGCCTGGCATACGCACCCAGTTTTAGAACCTCTGGTGTAATGCCTCAGAAGAGTCAGCAGGTGCTGTTACCACGCAATTGGGTCGCAGTTTTCCCCGCTACGACATATTTAGGCAACGCTACTGTTGTGTTAAAGAAGGCATGAAGAAACTTGAAAGTGTATCTGTGTGTGTGTGTGTGTGTGTGTGTGTGTGTGTGTGTGAGAGAGAGAGAGAGAGAGAGAGAGAGAGAGAGAGAGAGAGAGAGAGAGAGAGAGAGAGAGAGAGAGAGAGAGAGAGAGAGAGAGAGAGAGAGAGAGAGAGAGAGAGAGAGAGAGAGAGAGAGCATGCATTTTTGCGTTCTTTCGGGGTGTCTTTGCCCAAATCAAATTGAAGATATTGCAAACGAGAATATGAAGGTGCATTTAACTTACATCGAACGACACCTGAACGAAAGATGATCTAAATGCGAATTTGGCACATGGATAAAATCAGATGAAAGATGCATTACTAAAATAAAAAACAAAATAGGACAGGCAAAAACTGCATTTTATTTTAAAAAAAAAAAAAACATCTTATGCAATATATCTTTGTCTTGCTTGCTACATACATTCAGTTTTAACATATGGCTATGACTCCTGGACAATCGGTAGGCAAGCCAAACAATTTTTTTAGGCCTCACAGATGTGGTTTTACAGAACAATGCTTAAAATACTTTGGACAGCCTAAAAAAAGCACCCACTAGGTTTTGAAAGAGGCGGGAGCCCGAAGACAACTAATCACAGACATCAGAAAGAGACAGTCATCATTTTTCGGCCATATTATAAGAAGAGTGAAAATGGAACATGTGGTGACCACTGTAAAGATTTGTGGAAGGAGAGATAGAAAAAGACAACGAGAGAAGATTCTTGACAGTCTTGTTGCATGTCATGGAGGTGTGTCAGCACACGAACTGATACATGCTGCAGAAGATCACAGGTTGTGGCGAGGTAAAATCGCCAACACCAGTCGTCAAGGCACTTGATGATGATGATACACTATTCGTATTCGTCCGAATAGTTGGTCCCACTATTCGTATTCGGCCTAATAGTGAAAATCCCTATTCGGTACAGCCCTAGTTATTTGTAAAGAAAGAAGAAGAGATAGGAAGAGCCTCAGGCAGAGAAGAGAAAAGAATAACTCACTTGTATCTGACAGAAGGAGGAGCAACAAACACCTCGTCCAGTATCCGGCCATCCTGCATGTCCAGCCTCAGAAGAACATTTCCCTTGACCAGAGCGAACAAGCTGCTTCTGTAGCCTTTGTTTGCAAGGCTCAGGGTTTCCTGCAGAGAAAATCATACAATTATCATATCATCCTTTGTTTTAATAGTACAATGATTGCATCGTCTTCTTCTGACCTACTGGTTATGCCGTAGAGCATCACATAGAGGAGTTAGATGTAGTTCCGTCTTTCGCTGGTTTTGTAGCTTGTGTTAATATCATTTTGTGTTTCTGTAGTGTCTTCTTTACTGCCTCCAACCATCTCTTTCTTGGTCGGCCTCTTGCCTTGTTGCCTGCTGTTTTCATGTAGTACCCTCCAGCCCAGCGGTTCTCAACCTATGGGCAGCTACCCTTTTTTTTTTTTTTTTTGATCGAAATACCCTTTTACATGGGTCACCAAAGACCCAGATATTGATTGAAGTTATGAAGTTGCAATAAAAATAATTGTATGTTTGGGGGTTCATCATAATATTGTTATATCTAATTTCGTCCTTTTTAGGACGAAATTTTTTGTCATTTGAAGCCCTACTCTGGCTTTTGCCAGGGGCCGCAATATAGGCAGGCCATATATATGGCCAAATGTCTGAAAGCGGTTTCTGGGACCTCTCCACGGCTATCCTAATCCACATGGTGGCACTTTGTGTCATCGGGTGTTTATCGCTTGTGTGATGTCCTGGTGGGGTAGAAATTCAGTTCAGTTTGGGGGTTGTCACAACATGAGGAACTGTATTTAAGGGTTGTCACAACATGAGGAACTGTATTTAAGGGTTGTCACAACATAAGGAACTGTATTTAAGGGTTGTCACAACATGAGGATTTGTATTTAAGGGTTGTCACAACATGAGGAACTGTATTTAAGGGTTGTCACAACATGAGGAACTGTATTTAAGGGTTGTCACAACATAAGGAACTGTATTTAAGGGTTGTCACAACATGAGGATTTGTATTTAAGGGTTGTCACAACATGAGGATTTGTATTTAAGGGTTGTCACAACATGAGGAACTGTATTTAAGGGTTGTCACAACATGAGGATTTGTATTTAAGGGTTGTCACAACATGAAGAACTGTATTTAAGGGTTGTCACAACATGAGGAACTGTATTTAAGGGTTGTCACAACATAAGGAACTGTATTAAAGGGTTGTCACAACATGAGGAACTGTATTTAAGAGTTGTCACAACATGAGGATTTGTATTTAAGGGTTGTCACAACATGAGGAATTGTATTTAAGGGTTGTCACAACATGAGGAACTGTATTTAAGGGCTGCCACAACATGAGGAACTGTATTAAAGGGTTGTCACAACACGAGGAACTGTATTTAAGGGTTGCCACAACATGAGGAACTGTATTTAAGGGTTGTCTCAACATGAGGAACTGTATTTAAGGGTTGCCACAACATGAGGAACTGTATTTAAGGGTTGTCTCAACATGAGGAACTGTATTTAAGGGTTGCCACAACATGAGGAATTGTATTTAAGGGTTGCCACAACACGAGGAACTGTATTTAAGGGTTGCCACAACATGAGGAACTGTATTAAAGGGTTGTCACAACATGAAGAACTGTATTTAAGGGTTGCCACAACATGAGGAATTGTATTTAAGGGTTGTCACAACATGAGGAACTGTATTTAAGGGTTGTCACAACATGAGGAACTGTATTTAAGGGTTGCCACAACATGAGGAACTGTATTAAAGGGTTGTCACAACATGAGGAACTGTATTTAAGGGTTGCCACAACATGAAGAACTGTATTTAAGGGTTGTCACAACATGAGGAACTGTATTTAAGGGTTGTCACAACATGAGGAACTGTATTTAAGGGTTGTCACAACATGAGGAACTGTATTTAAGGGTTGTCACAACATGAGGAACTGTATTTAAGGGTTGTCACAACATGAGGAACTGTATTTAAGGGTTGTCACAACATGAGGAACTGTATTTAAGGGCTGCCACAACATGAGGAACTGTATTTAAGGGCTGCCACAACATGAGGAACTGTATTAAAGGGTTGCCACAACATGAGGAACTGTATTTAAGGGTTGCCACAACATGAGGAACTGTATTTAAGGGTTGCCACAACATGAGGAACTGTATTTAAGGGTTGCCACAACATGAGGAATTGTATTTAAGGGTTGCCACAACATGAGGAACTGTATTTAAGGGTTGCCACAACATGAGGAACTGTATTTAAGGGTTGTCACAACATGAGGAACTGTATTTAAGGATGGCAGAATAGGAAGGTTGAGAACCCCTACTCTAGCTGCTGGCTGATTTTGGTCGATTCTGACAATATGACCAAACCATTTCATTCTTTTGAAATCATTTCCTGGTATTGGCCTACCATTGTTGGTACTTCTTTGTTGGTGACTCTGTCTCTCCTTGTTTTCCCATGGCATTTTTTGTTATCTAATTTATTTCACATGTTGTAATTGTGCATTTTTGTTTTCCTAGGTCTGTTTCATTCCATCAATTATCTGTAAAATAATGGAATTCTTCAATCAATCATTTATTTAACAGTAAAATTATTATATCATTCATTTTCAAAATGGAATCTTTTAAAAATACTGCAATCATTTAAATATAATCAAACATTTTACATTAAAAATGAAATTACACAATCAATTATATTTTGAACAATGCAGTCATGCTATCCGTCATTTGCTTCATAATACTGGATATAGAAAACCTCAAAATTACTGGATATAGAAAACCTCAAAATTACTGGATATAGAAAACCTCAAATTTACTGGATATATATACATATATTTTTTTTTTAGTATCCAGAAGCCATGAGTTGTTAACCCTTAGGCTCGGTATTATGGATATCGCAACTCTTCGGCCTTGATTCCATGATACATACCATAAATCTGGGAGAAATGTGGCCTTTCTGCCTACCCCCGGGCGTGAACCCGGACCACAAAGAGTTTGTCACCCGGTCACCACGCAGTCCGGTTTAGCCATCTACGCTAGAGAGCCGGGCAACTGGATTTAAAATGTCAAACTTAAGGTATATAGAAAACCTCAAACTTACTGGATATAGAAAACTTCAAACTTATTGGATATAGAAAACCTCAAACTTACTGAATATAGAAAAATATAGAAAACCACAAACAGACTGGACATAGTAAACCTCGAACTTACTGGATACAGAAGATTGCAAACTTACTGAATATAGAAAACCCTCAAACTTATTGGATAAAGAAAACCTCAAATTTACTGGATATAGAAAACTTAAAACATTTACTGGATATAGAAAACCTCAAACTTACTGTATATATAAAACCTCAAACTTACTGGATATAGAAAAAAAAAACTTACTAGATATAGAAAACTTCAAACAAACTGGATATAGAAAACCTCAAACAAACCGGATATAGAAAACCTCAAAAAAACCGGACATAGAAAACCTCAAACTTACTGGATATCCTTCCATGATAAGAGCATCCTCAATTTTGCCTGGTTGGCTTCTCTGCACAGAAAACTTTAAACGTGGACCTGGGAAGGGGCTTCCACTGAAAACAGAAGAAACCAATCCCCATAAACTCAACCTTTACATTCCACTTTTCTAGTGCCACTGTATTTCATAGTTTTTGTTTCCCTGAATTACGATCTATTCTTCTGTATTTGTAATTTCCAGACTCAGCTTGGTTGTCTGCACTCTGCAATTTCTTGAGCATACACAGACAAAATCTGACAGTTCTTATGTGTTGTTTATCTCTCTAGATGTCAATAATTTCCACATTTTGTTGAAAACAGTCTTGGCCATTCCTAACTTTTTTACTTATTTTTTTATTTCACTTCTGTCATTATCTTTTTTTACAGGATTTGCAGAGTACAAGTGTTGTCGAAAAAGAATAAGAATGAGGAGGAGGAGGCAGAGGAGAAGAGCAACAACAAAAACAAGAACAAAAAGGAGAAGAACGAGGAGGAGTAGAATAAGAAGGAGGAGGAGGAAAAGTTGAAGACGAGAAAGAAGAAGAAGTAGAAGAAGAAGGAGGAGGAGGAGAAGGAGGACAAAGAAGAAGACAAAGGAGAAGAAGAGAAAGAAAAAAAGAAGAAGAGAAGAAAAAGAAGAGGATAAGGCAGGCAAAGAAGAAGAAGACAAAGAGGAAGAAGAGGAAGAGGAGGAGGAAGACAAAAAAGAAGTAGACAAAGGAGAAGAAGAAGAGGAGGAGGAGGAAGTAGAAAAAACTTACCAGTCTATACAGTTCTGGTAGTTATCAAAAAATGCAAACCGTCTGAAAACAGAAGTTAATAACTGTAAGACCAACTGACTTTACCTTCCGTACTAAGCATTGTCAGAATGGTATACTACAGTACAACAGGCTTCTCCTTAACCTCTTAATCCCGCTGTAAACCCCGACAGAAAGTCCTGGTTGTTCACCCATTTCTGGACTGTGGTCTTGTCCCAGAACTTGAGGTTTGCCTGCACATCCGTTTTACAGATCTGGCTTATTTGTATGCAGACTGCTGAGGCTTCAACTTTCAGGTGCTTGCACCCCGACCTTGAAGGAAACACCCCTAATTAGTGGCCTTTTACGACAAGCTTGTTAAGGAGCCAGTGGATCTATTCTTTTGGCCCCAAAATGAGGTCCCAGAACCCATACTGGGACATAATTATTTTAAGCACAATCAAAAAATCGTACAATGCTAAATCTGTTAAATAACCAACAGTCTTAGTCTTAGTGTTAGTGTTAGTCTTAGTCAAGTTTTCAAGTTCACTGCAATCAGGTTTCCCCATACGTGCTCCGTTTCTGTGCCAGTGAAAATCAAATGAAATGTCCCTCACTGTCTCATCTGAAAAAACTGGTGAACAAATTTTACTTGTACCAGGGAGGAGGGGCAGGGGCTGACCGACACGAAGATGGGCACAGGATATAAGTGACTCCTTTGGTATGAAAGTACATGAGGTGGGAGAGCTGGTGAGAGACTCTTTAAGGCAGACTGTGATGAGAGCAACATTCTGCAAGGAACCTGCTACATTATGATGATTAATGCTACACCATCTTCTTCACATGGCTGTTGACACATCAGACTTTCCCACATGATCTCATCAAACCTTCCTACATGATCTCCACAAACCTTCCCACATGATCTCATCAAACCTTCCCACATGTTCTCATCCAACCTTCCCACATGATCTCATCAAACCTTCCCACATGATCTCATCAAACCTTCCCACATAATCTCATCAAACCTTCCCACATAATCTCATCAAACCTTCCCACATGATCTCCACAAACCTTCCCACATGATCTCCACAAACCTTCCCACATGATCTCCACAAACCTTCCCACATAATCTCCACAAACCTTCCCACATGATCTCCACAAACCTTCCCACATGATCTCCACAAACCTTCCCACATGATCTCCACAAACCTTACCACATAATCTCCACCAAACCTTCCCACATAATCTCCACCAAACCTTCCCACATGATCTCCACAAACCTTCCCACATGATCTCCACAAACCTTCCCACATGATCTCCACAAACCTTCCCACATGATCTCATCAAACCTTCCCACATGATCTCCACAAACCTTCCCACATGATCTCATCAAACCTTCTCACATGATCTCATAAAACCTTCCCACATAATCTCCACCAGACCTTCCCACATAATCTCCACCAGACCTTCCCACATAATCTCCACAAACCTTCACACATAATCTCCACAAACCTTCCCACATAATCTCCACAAACCTTCCCACATAATCTCCACAAATCTTCCCACATAATCTCCACAAACCTTCCCACATGATCTCATCAAACCTTCCCACATAATCTCTACAAACCTTCCCACATAATCTCATCAAACCTTCCCGCATGATCTCATTAAACCTTCCCACATGATCTCATCAAACCTTCCCACATGATCTCATCAAACCTTCCCACATAATCTCCACAAACCTGCCCACACAATCTCCACAAACCTTCCCACATAATCTCCACAAACCTTCCCACATGATCTCCACAAACCTTCCCACATGATCTCCACAAACCTTCCCACATGATCTCATCAAACCTTCCCACATGATCTCATCAAACCTTCCCACATGATCTCATCAAACCTTCCCACATGATCTCATCAAACCTTCCCACATGATCTCATCAAACCTTTCCACATGATCTCATCAAACCTTCACACATGATCTTATCAAACCTTCCCACATGATCTCATCAAACCTTCCCACATAATCTCATCAAACCTTCCCACATGATCTCATCAAACCTTCCCACATGATCTCCACAGACCTTCCCACATGATCTCCACAAACCTTCCCACATGATCTCATCAAACCTTCCCACATAATCTCCACAAACCTTCCCACATAATCTCCACAAACCTTTCCACATGATCTCATCAAACCTTCCCACATAATCTCTACAAACCTTCCCACATAATCTCCACAAACCTTCCCACGTAATCTCCACAAACCTTCCCACATAATCTCATCAAACCTTCCCACATAATCTCCTCAAACCTTCCCACATAATCTCCACCAAACCTTCCCACATGATCTCCACCAAACCTTCCCACATGATCTCTACAAACCTTCCCACATGATCTCCACAAACCTTCCCACATGATCTCATCAAACCTTCCCACATGATCTCCACAAACCTTCCCACATGATCTCATCAAACCTTCTCACATGATCTCATAAAACCTTCCCACATAATCTCCACAAACCTTCCCACATAATCTCCACCAGACCTTCCCACATAATCTCCACAAACCTTCACACATAATCTCCACAAACCTTCCCACATAATCTCCACAAACCTTCCCACATAATCTCCACAAATCTTCCCACATAATCTCCACAAACCTTCCCACATGATCTCATCAAACCTTCCCACATAATCTCTACAAACCTTCCCACATAATCTCATCAAACCTTCCCGCATGATCTCATCAAACCTTCCCACATGATCTCATCAAACCTTCCCACATGATCTCATCAAACCTTCCCACATAATCTCATCAAACCTTCCCACATAATCTCCACAAACCTGCCCACACAATCTCCACAAACCTGCCCACACGATCTCCACAAACCTTCCCACATGATCTCCACAAACCTTCCCACATGATCTCCACAAACCTTCCCACATGATCTCATCAAACCTTCCCACATGATCTCATCAAACCTTCCCACATGATCTCATCAAACCTTCCCACATGATCTCATCAAACCTTTCCACATGATCTCATCAAACCTTCACACATGATCTTATCAAACCTTCCCACATGATCTCATCAAACCTTCCCACATAATCTCATCAAACCTTCCCACATGATCTCATCAAACCTTCCCACATGATCTCCACAGACCTTCCCACATGATCTCCACAAACCTTCCCACATGATCTCATCAAACCTTCCCACATAATCTCCACAAACCTTCCCACATAATCTCCACAAACCTTTCCACATGATCTCATCAAACCTTCCCACATAATCTCTACAAACCTTCCCACATAATCTCCACAAACCTTCCCACGTAATCTCCACAAACCTTCCCACATAATCTCATCAAACCTTCCCACATAATCTCCTCAAACCTTCCCACATAATCTCCACAAACCTTCCCACATAATCTCCACAAACCTTCCCACATAATCTCCTCAAACCTTCCCACATGATCTCCACAGACCTTCCCACATGATCTCCACAAACCTTCCCACATGATCTCATCAAACCTTCCCACATAATCTCCACAAACCTTCCCACATAATCTCCACAAACCTTTCCACATGATCTCATCAAACCTTCCCACATAATCTCTACAAACCTTCCCACATAATCTCCACAAACCTTCCCACGTAATCTCCACAAACCTTCCCCCATGATCTCCATTGTTGCTGGTCTGCTGATGTCTGTCGGTGATAGATTGTCTGTCGGTATTAGATTGTCTGTCGGTGATAGATTGTCTGTCGGTGATAGATTGTCTGTCGGTGATAGATTGTCTGTCGGTGATAGATTGTCTGTCGGTATTAGATTGTCTGTCGGTGATAGATTGTCTGTCGGTGATAGATTGTCTGTCGGTGATAGATTGTCTGTCGGTGATAGATTGTCTGTCGGTGATAGATTGTCTGATGGTGATAGATTGTCTGTCGGTGATAGATTGTCTGTCGGTGATAGATTGTCTGTCGGTGATAGATTGTCTGTCGGTGATAGATTGTCTGTCGGTGATAGATTGTCTGTCGGTGACAGATTGTCTGCCGGTGATATCTCATGTCAGTTTATATTCCTTCATTTTCCTTTCTACCGTGTTTCTGCAGATTTCCTTAGGTTATCCCCATCTACTTATTCAATCTGCCGTCCAACAGAGAGCTAATCTTGCCAAAGTGTCACAAGGGATTCACCAAAGATGTCCAAGCCATCTCCATCTTCTTCTCTTGATCATGTTTGTAAGTGACCAACATTTTGTTTTCTACCGTGTTTCTGCAGATTTCCTTAGGTTATCCCCATCTACTTATTCAATCTGCCGTCCAACAGAGAGCTAATCTTGCCAAAGTGTCACAAGGGATTCACCAAAGATATCCAAGCCATCTCCATCTTCTTCTCTTGATCATGTTTGTAAGTGACCAACATTTTGTTTTCTTCGTGTTCTTCCTTTCTGATCTTGTTTGGCACAAATGTTTACAGGACTCTCCTCAAACATTAATTCTGAGTTGTCTCTAGTTTGTGTAATTTCTTGTTTTATTTTACAATCTCTTTGATAAATCTGTAATTCTGAACTAGAATGTCTTTGCACTGGAACCCACAGGGGCACAGAAATAAAGGAAGACAAAAAAAAAATCACATGGGGGATGGAGCTAGAGAGAAGTTAAAAAGATGTGGAGGAGGACACGGGGAGAGCTGCATGCGATAGTGAAGGAAGGAACATCTTTCCGTCAGTTGATCGAGGTCCTGTGCTCCATTTGGGGTTAGAAATGGTGAAGAAGAAAAATTCTGAACTGCAGAAGACTTACCCGTCGCAGGCTATATGTTTCTTTGACCTCTGCGACCAGGATTTTTGGAACGTGCGCCTGCCCTGTGCAAAGCCAGAAACAAAATGTGAAGAAAAAAAAATAGTAATAAGATAATGTACAAATGCTCAAGAATGTGGAACTAAGCTAACAGTTGACATCACAGACAAAAATATTATCATCATCATGTGCCTTGCCAACTGGCGTAGGCGCTCATGCGTCTCCACAGATCACGATCCCTGGTTGCCTGGAGCAGCTCTCTTGATGATATCCATCCATGCCATCGTTTCAGCCCATCCAGCATCATCTCTCTTGGTCAGCCTCTACCCCTTTTTCCACGGATCTTTCCAGTTGTCACGATGTTCTCCAATTTCTCTCTTCTCATTATGTGGCCAAAGAACAGTGTTTGTCTCTTATTGTTGTATATAGAGATCTCTTTTCATTAGCTTCTTTCAAACAAACGTTGTTAGTTACTCCAAGGTATTCGTAACTTTCGTCTCAGAAACCAAATCTCTTTTGCTTCCAAATTCTTCCTAATTTGTTCACTGACATTCCAAGATTAGCTGCCATACAGCAAAACAAAAATATATTAACCAAATTTTCTAGGATGTTAAAAAGTAAATAATGAAATTGGCAAGTCCTCGTGTGGATTCTGGAGCCCCACTGTGGGCAGACAAGAAGCAGACCAATTGCCCCCTAACAATCAGGTCGCAAGCGTCGTTGTATTAAGGATGTTTCCTTTGTAGTCAGAGTGCATCTGCATGGGATGTGAGGAACCAACAGTCTGCCTACAAATAGGCCAGATCTGTAAAATGGCTGTGCACTCAAAAGTGAGGTTATGGAAAGGAAAAAGACTATAAAGTCCAGTACCTTCCACCTAAGCTTACAGATGGTTAAGGAAAAATAAGTACTAGAAGAAGGAGGAGAAGAGGAGGAGGAGGAGAAGAAGAAATCTGCAAGGATATTTTTTCTTCTTCTCCAGCATTACGAGCCCTTGAGGTTCACTGAATCAGATATCTCCCGCCTCCATTCATCTCTCTGGTTGGCCTTCTCTTTCCAGCTGGTGACACCAAGTGTTTGCAGGTCTGTCTGGACATTATCTCTCCATCGTCTTCTTGGTCTGCCTCGTGGTCTACAACCATTCAGATCCCTTGTGTATACAGTTTTTACCTCTGTCATTTGACATTCCCTTAATATGCCCAAAAAAGCATTTTTGACAAAAATTCATATATTAATGATCAGATTTTTAAAGACATAAAAAAAATTAGTATAATTGTAATATTTTTAATGAAAAGAACAAATAACTCTGTAACAATCATATTTCAAAGACAGGACAAAAATACACATAATAATCATCTGACTTTCAAGCATATGACAATAATTCATTAATAATCAGATGTCCAATGGTATAAGAAAAACTTACACTAATAAACAGACTTCCAATGGTATAAGAAAAACTTACACTAATAAACAGACTTCCAATGGTATAAGAAAAACTTACACTAATAAACAGACTTCCAATGGCATAAGAAAAACTTACACTAATAAACAGACTTCCAATGGTATAAGAAAAACTTACACTAATAAACAGACTTCCAATGGTATAAGAAAAACTTACACTAATAAACAGACTTCCAATGGTATAAGAAAAACTTACACTAATAAACAGACTTCCAATGGTATAAGAAAAACTTACACTAATAAACAGACTTCCAATGGTATAAGAAAAACTTACACTAATAAACAGACTTCCAATGGTATAAGAAAAACTTACACTAATAAACAGACTTCCAATGGTATAAGAAAAACTTACACTAATAAACAGACTTCCAATGGTATAAGAAAAACTTACACTAATAAACAGACTTCCAATGGTATAAGAAAAACTTACACTAATAAACAGACTTCCAATGGTATAAGAAAAACTTACACTAATAAACAGACTTCCAATGGTATAAGAAAAACTTACACTAATAAACAGACTTCCAATGGTATAAGAAAAACTTACACTAATAAACAGACTTCCAATGGTATAAGAAAAACTTACACTAATAAACAGACTTCCAATGGTATAAGAAAAACTTACACTAATAAACAGACTTCCAATGGTATAAGAAAAACTTACACTAATAAACAGACTTCCAATGGTATAAGAAAAACTTACACTAATAATCAGGTTTCCGAGGATGTGATGAATTCGCCGATGACTTGATTTCTCGCTGTATTCTCTGGCTAACACATGGCAGTAGATATTGCCTCTTTTGTTATCAAGTGACGATGTGTTATGCAGTTTCAACAACACCATCGCGGATAAGAAATTTGCTGTTTATAATTTTGTGTTGTATTTTACCAGTTGTATCACAACATCATGGCCGACTAAGCAGCTGATCGTGCCCTGGCTCGCTACCAATCATCTGGCTGCAACACACTAGAGACACAGAGCAGATACTGATGAAAGAAGATATCTCATTCAAGCCTTCTGTGTTATAGCATTTTTTAAAGGATGTTGCATAATCAACTTCAGCATTTGTTGGCTGGATCGCTGAAAAGTGGTGTTGTGGTCTACAACTAGGCTGTGATATATGTGAATTTCGTCCCAACAAATCCAATGTCTGCAAATTCCTTATTGGTTACTTCTAAGACATGCTAATTAGGAAGTAGTGGGTCCATTTCCCCCACCCCCTATGAGGCCCTGGGACACACACAGGGATATTTGCTATTTTATATTGTGCATCAGTGTTCTCATAACCCTTATCTTGTGTGCTATTTCATTTGTGTGATGCTTTGTTAGTATGAAACTGGTGGTAATTTGTTCACTTTACTTTACTTTAATTATACTTTGGAATGGTTTTTCAATTGTGTCCAATGAGGTTTGTGTTGTGAACTGCAGATTCAGAAAATGGTGAGTGGCCTGTTGCAGTGCCTTCTGCAATTACTTGTGCAACTGCTGATCTGTTATAACTACTGCTTCAATTGACTATGAATGGCATTTCCGGTGTCGGACTGTTTGTACTGGCATATGTATGCTGCTGGAAACACAATGTTTAAGAATGTGTGAATGATGAAATAAGTGTGGATCCAGTAAGGAGGTACATATAAGAGGAAGAGATTGGTGTGTGTATATTCAGTATGCTACGGGCACAGTTAGCATCTACACTAGTGGTTCTTAACCTGTGGGTTGCGACTTTTTTGTGGGTCGAATACCCTTTCATAAGGGTCGCCTAAGACCATGGGAAAACACATATTGATTGAAGTTATATAGTAGCAATGAAAATAACTGTATGGCAGAGGTTTCCACAACATGAGGAACTGTGTTAAAGGGTCGGGGCATTAGGAAGTTTGAGAACCACTGATCTACACCTCAAGATATTTGCTGTGGGAGCAAAGCATCTAATTTATCTAAGGGTAGGTCCTATGTGTAGTAATGTTTTTTGGCTATCTTCCGAATAACGGTCGTAAATTATTGAGGTGGAAAATATACCCTTACAGGGCCTCAGTCACGTGTCAATTGTGCACTTCCGGGGACTATAACGCCACTGCCGAATTGCGAACTTCTGGCAACTTCCGCCACCGCCGACAGTGTCCCCCACGCGGCGTGGATTGGGGCTAAACTAGATGGCTAGGACTCACAAGAAAATAAAATGAAGGAAGCTGCAGGAGATGCGGTAGCTGCTGCTCCTGATGGAACTGTGCAATTGACACGTGACTGAGGCCCTGTTAGGGTATATTTTCCGCCTCGATAATTTACGACCGTTATTCGGAGGATAGCCTGTTTTTTTAAATCAGTAAATAAACTAATTCCATATGATGTTGTTCAATTGGTTGAGACTGCTGTTTGTGTCAATTTGTTTTACAAGGGATAGTGACGGACATTCTCATCTGTGTGGCTTTTCCTATTCATAAGAGTAAGAAGATCAAACAGACTTCTACCTAATGATTTATCCCTTTTCAAGGGCGCGGCTACAAGTGAAGCAAACAGAACAGCAAGACATTAAGAAAAGAATGGACAGAAAGGCGACTGCAGGAGATTCCCTCCCTGGCACAACACTCATTCACTGTCCTCACTGTCCAAGAACTTTTCGGGCCCGCATCGGCCTCATCAGTCATCTTTATACTCATACTTGATTTTTTTTAAAAAGTGGTCATCATCATCTAGCGACTACAGTTTCGACAATTTGCGGTCTTTTTGGCAATTTCCATTACCATGGAAACCGTTCGAAACTTGCTTCACAAATGTCGGCTGGGGTTTCGGGATGGGTCCTAATCTCTCATGAAATTTTGCGATTGGTGTGATTTTCACCAGCTACAAACAGCTGAAAACGGCGGGAACGGAACCGATTAACAGCGCATGTCTACGACAGCCGGACGTCCTCTGTTTTTCTGTTACATCAGTTTGACTGAAAATAGCGATAAGTATTCACGGTTGGCTTTAGGCTTTAAACATTACCAGACATGGTAATGCTAGTTATAATTGAATTCTCCGTCCAATTTTACATTTGTGTATAAAATTTCTTTCTTGTCTGTGGCTGTTTAGATGTACAGTGACATTTTTCAGGCAATCGCTAATATGTGGCTGTGTCTGAGAAAAATTGTCTGCCATCTTGTCCAATGAAAACAAAGCCAAAACGAAAGTTGCGCAGTTTGGTTGCGCAGAGAAAACTTCTTGTTTCTGGGAGACAAGTTTTAGCAGTTGTTTTTTTTTACATCTCATCTCCACAAAAACCTACATATCTCAGCTCAGAAATGACATACAAGCTCAAATGAGGTACCGTTGGAAAGAGATTGTTTACAGCTATCTAACTGTGCTGGTTTTATTGGTGTAGAGGGCATTTTACAAATTTGACTAAAGTAACTACATCATCATCTTGATGGACAACACACACATCTTTCGACTTTCGTGCATAAGAAAGACTAAGAGAGCGAATACTAAAACTTTTTGCTCGCCTTACAGCCTGTTCCCTTTTACTGTCCTTCTCTGTAGGAGAGAATGAATTTAAGCCCGACAAAACTGTTTGTACTGTAAGGGAAAATCAATTTCCCTGCTCCATGACAGGTAGGTACTCTAACTTGGTCTGCAGGCTCCATGACAGGGGAGACCACTCTCAGCTCTCACTGCCAGGACCTGCCACAGTTCAGGCCAAATGTAGCCACAATCATCGTCAAGTGCCTTGCCGACTGGCTTTGACGATCACGCCCCTCCTCAATCTGCGATCCACAACTGCGTTTATCAGTTTATGTGTTGAAATTCCTTCATCCCATAACAAAAGGTTGTCAACAATCTTCTCGCTCTGTCTCTCTTTCCAAAGATTTTTTTACAGTGGTCACAATATGTCCAGTTACCCACTTCGTATAGCATTATCAAAAAAGGATGACTGTCTCTTCCTGATGTTTGTAAAAAGTTGTCAAAACTATTTATTATTATTAGAGGACAAGCCCTGTGTCATTGGAAGTCATAGGGGGTTTGAATAGTCGTAAGGTATGGCGTTAGCCTCGATGACTGGAGGTCCCGGGTTCAAACCCTGGTGAAGGGAATTTTTCACGTGAACTTCTAGTAATTTCCCCTGGTCTCTGGGTAGTAAGATCGGACGCCCGTGTGTATTGATGCGCACGAGAAAAAACCTTAGCAGTTGGAAATCGAAAAGAGTAGCCTAACGGCGCTGCCCTGGCTAAATTTTGAGTTACAAATCTACCCAAAGTATTTCAGGGGTTCGTGAACTGCGCTGAGTAGAACGGAGCACTTATGGGTTGCACACGTGGGCCATGATGTTGATCCGTTGAATAAACTTAAACTTTGGTAGTCATGTCTATCCACTTCGATCTGTCTCGTGTTCTCAAGTGTCAATTACAATGGTGCTGTAAATCGAAAAGTAAAGTAAAGGACCCTTTTAAACGCCTTCAAGCAGATCTGGCATATAGAGTTAGGCCAATCGGCAGCAGGTTATGTGATCACACCGGCCGCCTTTACTTCCCTGGACTGTACCATTTACCCACTCAAAGCCGGGTTGACCTGTGAGCCAAGTCCATTTTTTAAAATAAGTCCAGCTCGTCAGGCCCCGAACCCACAAATAGTGCTCTAAAAGTAACCCACAAATAGTGCTCTAACATTAACCCACAAATAGTGCTCTAAAAGTAACCCACAAATAGAGCTCTAACATTAACCCACAAATAGTGCTCTAAAAGTAACCCACAAATAGTGCTCTAGAATTAACCCACAAATAGTGCTCTAAAAGTAACCCACAAATAGTGCTCTAAAAGTAACCCACAAATAGTGCTCTAAAAGTAACCCACAAAAAGTGCTCTAAAAGTAACCCACAAATAGTGCTCTAAAAGTAACCCACAAATAGTGCTCTAAAAGTAACCCACAAATAGTGCTCTAAAAGTAACCCACAAACAGTGCTCTAAAAGTATTCCTATAAGGGTGCCGATCAGAAATGGCCATGAAATGACAGCCAGGCAATTGCGAAACCAACGGTCGAGGTGCTCTCGGCGAGCAACAAGCAGCCGATATTTTGGAGAAGGATGTTTTTGTTTGCACAACTAGCAGACTACACCGACGTCTGTAAACGCGGGCCGTTTAGATTGTGTATACACTGTAGCTGGACAACCAGGATGTTAAATAACACCCCTGGGACAATTCGCCACTACTGTGTTTAACCTGTTACTTGATGTGCCTCTCTACACTGTTGTAATAATTGTGCTGTTTATTTTGTTTTGATTAAATACAATTCTAGGGGTGTCTTTTTTTCTGAGGTACGCAGTACTAGCACCTTTTTTTAAACACTTCTGTAATGGACACTTTAGGGGGGAATACCGGCACCTTTGTTAAACATGAAGTTAGAGGGAATCAACTTCAGTCTTCATTGCACCGGGTTTGTATCCCCCATATAGGGGTCAGGGATCCAACGTTACAGAAACAAAATGAATAGACCCCTTGATACAGTGTTCTTCAACGTGTGGTGGGGGGGGGGGGGGGAGGGAGGAATTTCCAAGCGGGGGCGTCAAGCAATTTTGAAAATGAGTTTATTTGTACTTGTAGTGATCCATTATACCAAATGTTTTTTTTTAATTTTCAGTTTAATTGTAAATAAAATATGTTTTAAACATTAAAACAAAACGGAGTCACTGTGGTCTAGCGACTAGATGCTCACCTGTGGATCGAAAGGCTGTAGGTTCAGTTCCTGACAAGGGCAGGAATTTGTTTTTAATGACCTTGGCTCCCAGGTCAATCCAGCCTTGAGTGGATACCCGGTGCAGTCCTGGGAAGTAAAGGCGGCCGGTCTGATGCTGACCACATCACCAACCAAGTGCCCTTTGGTCAAAAAAAAAATAGGTCGAGCCCTATATACCCAATACGCCTGATTCATTGACACCTTTCCGTTTTTCCAGACGATGGTGTTATATTGCGCTATGAGGAAGCATGAGACTCACAGACCATGGCAACTAGCAAGACCCGCCCAAGAAAAGTCTTCCACAGTGATAGCATGGGATTTCAGGACCATTGTTGTCAACATTTGAGTTTAATCCTGAAAGGCGTGGAAAGGGGTCCTTTACTTTTTTATTTACTTCCTATAAAACAAAATGCCCTTGGCTTTTTGTTTTGAGGATCAGTTTTGTACATCTGCGATTACAAATCTAATCAATATGATAACAAGTGCATTTAACTCTTTGAGTCCTAAGGAACGCATCAAACGTTCATAGGTTCCTACCTAGAAGCCCAATGAACGCATGATGCACTTATTTTTTTTTTTCTTTACTACTCCCTGGGCCTGTGATGATAAACTTCCTGGGACTCAAAGAGTTAAGATAAGTTGAGTCAAAAATTGACATCACAGCACTCGGGGCATTCCCGTGCAATTGCATGTGCATTTAATTATAGCTTAAGAACACTGCCCTCCGATTTTTTTTTTTAAATCACATTTTCTATGTTGAGGGGTGTGGGGGCTGGCCACATACTAAGAAGGGGGTGGTGGGGAACTACATGAAAGGGGCTGGAGACAATTGCCTTAAACAGTCCTTTACTTACTTACTTAATTTTTTTTTACATTTTACTGTACAATATATGTTATTATTTCATCTCTATCTGTCTAGTTGTCTGTATCAATGTCATGGCCTTATAGGCACATAAAGTGTTCATGGTTGATCTTTATTGCTGATGATATTCTGTCCAGCATCCCATGTCAGTTTGTATTCCTTCATTTTCATTTCTGCTATCCTTCTCCACGTTTCCTTAGGTCGTTTACAACACCTTATGTTTTTCCAATCTGCCATCTGTTATTCCCAAATTATCATGAGGCACTGTGCAAACAAGACCAAGCCATCTACGCTTTCTTCTTTTGATAGCATTTGCCAGTGATTAAAATTTTTTGTGTGCGTAATAAACTAGAATCAAGAGAATCGCTATTTGTATTTCGTTTATTTTCATTTCACAGTGTTAATCCTTTGGATGTGGGTATGACGAAAAACAAGACCAAGAAACAAATCAAAGCCGGAAAGGCTGTGAAAAACTTCACCAAAGAACTGGTAAAAGAAGACGACAACTTCACAGTGATGGATACACCCAGCTGTTCAAAAATGAACTCCTCAATTGTTTCTTCAGTTTACCTGTTCAGTTTGACGTTCATAATTCTTGCTCTATCAGTGATAATTGGATTTGTGTCTTACATACAGACGTATAATTTTGCTGACAAATCAGCAGAGAGGTTTTCTTTCAAAACTGGAGATTCTGAGCACCATATATCTTCCCAAGAAGGAGTAGTTTTACAGGAAAATGAGGATGAAGTTTTTCCGTCAGAATCTGTTTTAATCGATGAGCTTCCAAATAGTCAAATCTTATCAGAAAAACTAGAAACAAGTTCCAAATCTATGCCTAAAAAGTTCATGGAGCACAGAAAACTACTGAAGTCGTACAGATTTGATTATGAAAAGGCTATGTCGGCTAGAGAAGAAGCGATGAAGAAATATTCCTTCCCCTATTCGGTCGATGGTGTTGATAAACGGAGCAATTTGTCATTGGAGGAGTTCTACGACGTTTATGATGGGAAATGGTAAATAGATTTTTTTTAAAGATATTTAGTGTATTTTTTACTGGATTAATATACTAGTTCTGTATTATTTAGAACAGTGGTTATCAGCCTTCCCAATGCTGCGACCCTTTGATACAGTTCCCTCATGTTGTGGCGACCATTTAATGCAGCTCCTTTTGTTGTGGCAAACCTTTAATACAGTTCCTCATGTTGTGGCGACCCGTTAATATAGTTCCTCATGTTGTGGTGACCCTTTAATACAGCTCCTCATGTTGTGGTGACCCTTTAATACAGTACCTTATGTTGTGGCGAACCTTTAATACAGTTCGTCATATTGTGGCGACCCTTTAATACAGCTCCTCATGTTGTGGTGACCCTTTAATTCAGTTCCTCATGTTGTGGTGACCCTTTAATACACTTCCTCATGTTGTGGTGACCCCGGATCATTAAAATTATTTCTGTTGCTACTTCATATCGTCTGAATATATGTTTTCCGATGGTCTTAGGCGTATCCCTTGTAAAAAAAATGGTTCGACCCCAAAGGGCTCCTGACCCACAGGTTGAAAACCTCTGATTTATAGCATTGTTTTTTAATACTCGAGACTACAAAAACCACATCAACAGAAGTGTCGCCAAAGATAAACACCATAAACAGGCAGCAACAACAAAAAACAGAATAGTAAACCAACACAGAACTGGTGTGATCAGTCACCACACTCTGGAGAATACACTGAAGGTGGGATCCGAGCGCTTATGGATTTGCCTGATGTGTAGTGGTGATAATAATCTATGGATTAATTAACTAACGAACTAGCTATCTTCTTCCCATGGACCACAGCCCACTGGCAGGCCACGTGGACCACCGCCCACTGGCCGGCCCTGGAAAAGTCTCAGCCTAATTCTGTTGTGAGGTCGGGTAGGTTGTCTTTCCATTCCAGGATTGCACTCTGTATATTCAACACCTCAGGGATAAGAATCACACCAGTATGAGTTCAGTTGAGTTAAGAATTAACATCACAGCACTCGGGGCATTCCCATATGCGCTCCTTCTCCATCCTAAGCAGCCAGTGCAGAGTTCAAGTACTAATGGTGCCAGTCGTAGTCTGGTTGTAAGCCCCTCTTGCCTTTCCTCTGACCGTAGTGTGCCGGCCAAACCCTCTGGTCACACCCAGGTGCATCATTCTATTCAGCCCATAATAATCTAGTTTCTTTTCTGACTTTGTTAATTATTCCCAAAGGGATGTGATCACGTTTGCCTTGTTGAGAATCAGTTCACCACCCAGCGGTGCAGATCCAGCCAGTCTGACTGCCTGTTCATTACCCACCATGCCGGCATAGCCTGGAGAAAAGATCCAAAGTATGCTCACTACCCCGTTACCTTTGCAAGTGATGCTTTCAACTCTAACAGGTACAAGTGATACTCAATGTAACAAATCAACATTGATAAGGTGGTAGCTAAGAACTGGGGTGTGACCTTGTGCCACGGGACCGTTACAGTTGCCATGAAGGCCATCCTGGGTCTTCCTGAAAGGTTCTGGCCAACGGGGTTCTGGTGAGGTTACGACAGGCCTAGCAAGCCGGCAGTTGATTTAATAACGGTACATCAGATACACTGAGATATCAATGGACTGATCAAAGAGAGGGACGTAGAGATGGGAAGATAACATCTGATAAACTCTACAGCACTACGACGTGTCTTTGGTCGTAGCAGCCAGGATAGCAGGAAGCAGGACCTTATGTCTCCCTCGACACCCAAAGCAGTAAAAGAGGATGTAAAGAAGAAGCTGAGAACTTTGTTAATTATTTCCCTTATAATGAGGAACCTCATAGAAGCAAGGGAAGATAATCCTTTCTCGGAAGATATAACATCATATGTACTTGATTATCATGAACAAGAAAAGCTGGTCAGGTTATCTTTTGATGTCACTCTTGTGTCCAGACATAAAACGCACTCTTTGTCTGAGTTTTGGATATCACTTGAAAAAAGAATATCTATGTCTGAGTTATAGAGCTTTCAGATTGTTTTGTTTTTCCTCTTCATATCTGTGTAAAAAACTTACCATGTTGGGATCCAACCGGTCACCTTAGTGACTGTTATTATTATTATATATCTTGTCATCCCTTTGCGGGATGCAATTTTTCGTTATTTGAAGCCCTACTCTGGCTTTTGCCAGGGGCCGCAATATAGCCCGGCCATAAATATGGTCTAATGGCTGAACGCCGTTTCTGGGACCTCTCCACGAGTGATCCTTATCCACATGGTGGCACTCTGTGTCATCGGGTGTTTATCGCTTGTGTGATGTCCTGGTGGGGTGAAAGAAGATAAATAGATAGATAGATAGATAGACCTGTCACCTCCAAATGGCGTTTGCGCCTCACTTTGGAAACAGGTGCACTAAGAACATGGTCAACTAGGCACCTCCAAAATCTATAAATAAATAAATGAGCATAATATCATATTATTTAGACTTTTAACGGTAGGTGTTCGTCAAAGCAAATATGTCCTTGTCATTTTGTTTAGTAAATATTGGCGGATTTATTCATCTTTTTGTATGTGTCAGCCACACAACTGATTGGCAGATTCACAAATTACAAATTAGATATTTAAATAACTGTATATGAAAATATACAATTTAACGCATCAGTTTTCCTTCAGGCCTGTCATTATCACGGATGTTATTCCGACATGGCCAGCTGCAAATTGGTCTGCAAAGACATTGAAGGCCAAATACGGGGAGGCCAGAGTGGCTATGATGACGTACAATATTGTAGGTAACAATTTTGCGATACACAGTATTTTTTTCCCTTCTCCTCCTTCCTTTTCTTCTTCTTCTTCTTCTTCTTCCTCCTCTACCTCTTCTTATTCTTCTTTTACCACCACTGCTACAAAAGTATCACTGATTCTGGTACTCTCTCTTATACTACTTCTCCTTCTGTTTCTTCTTGTTGTTTTCTGCTTCTTCTTCTCATTCTTCTGTTGCTATTTTCATCTTCTGCTACTTGTTCTTCTTGTCAGTGTCTGTAATAAATAGATGATGCGTTCTTAATTGAACTTTTTTTTTTTTTTTGCATATTGCTTTCCTCTGGGAGTTTACATTTACTGATTAAGATTACAGATTAATCATATCCTAGGTTTTCCAGATCATTCACAAGTAGTTATAAAAGAGGTTTTTGAAAATATTATGTTGTTGGCTTTTATATTTCTCTGAAACTTGGAGCACAACTAAAAGAGATGAAGCTTTATTACAGGTTTTCGAAAACAGAGTCTCAAGACCAATCTTTGAACCCATCAAAGATGCAAACAGCGGTGAATGGAGAGTGAGAAGCAACAACGAAATTCATAATCTGTATAAATCACCATTGATCACTGGCATCACAAGAGCTAATAGACTAAAATGGTTGGGGCATATTGAGAGAATGTCAGATGACAGAGAAGTAAAAACTGTATACACAAGGGCGATAAATGGTCGTAGACCACGAGGCAGGCCAAAAATAAGATGGAGAGATAATGTCCAGACAGACCTGCAAACACTTGGTGTCACCGACTGGAAAGAGAAGGCCAACCAGAGAGATGAGTGGAGTCTGATTGGCTGGTGCGAAAACCTGCCAGCCAATATCAAGGCTTTTATTACACAGGGGCGACTGTTCGGTCCAGCCGTACTTCTGGCTACTTTGTGTTGAGCCGATAGTTCGGCCGCGTCATCTCCAGAGGGTTAATAGCAAGGGTTGGAATGGAAGTAGTCTTGTACCTCACTACTGGAACAGCGACAAAGAATGTTTGGCCACCAGCTGTTTTTAGTCGGTCCTGCAGATGCTGCATGTCATCCACTCGATAAGTTACTTGGATAAATACTTGTACTTTGAGCACTGTAATTTTGTTTGGGGTTTGAGTTGGCTGGGTGCAAAACATGCAATGAATCCTGGGGGGTACCCCTTAAGAAGTAGAGTTGCATTGAGAGTTTCATTTTCTGCTGCCAGTTTATCTTTGGTGCCAATCTTTCTGGCATGGTTAAACAAGCTTCTTACTAGGCCATGTTTACATTGAATGGGTACAAAACTGGAAGTTTAGATACTGGCCTGTCCCTGTTTCTTTTTGGTGCACCAACCTTTTGATACCTGATACTTTTGTTGTTGTTTTCTCGTCCGAAGTTAAACCAGTCTGACTATGGCAAAGATCGAGAAGGCTACTCGGTGCCGCTGGGAATCTTTCTGGACCACATCAACGTGAGCAGCCACAGGTCGTGGACTTATTTACAAGACGAGGTTTTTCTGGCACAGTATCCTGAGCTGCGGGCCCAGGTTTTGGAGACTGTGAGCATGTCTGTGTTCTGCATGTTTTCTTCTTTTTTTTTTTTTTTTTTTTTTTTTTGGTCTTTTCTTATTTTATTAAAGTTTTGGCTATCTTCTGAATAACGGTCCCAAATTATCAAGGCAGAAAATATACCCTAACAGGGCCTCAGTCACGTGTCAGTTGCGTACTTCCGGGGACTATACCACCGCCGCAGAATTGCGAGCTTCCGCCGACTTCCCCCACCGCCGAGAGTATCCCCCGCCGGGTGCCCCCACGCCGCTGAGGCGGCGTGGATTTGGGTTAAACTAGATGGCTAGGACTCACGAGCAAATAAAATGAAGGCAGCTGCAGAAAATGCGGTAGCTTCTGCTCGTGAGTCCTAGCCATCTAGTTTAACCCCAATCCATGCCGCATGAGCAGCAGGGGGATACTCTCGGCGGTGGCGGAAGTCGCCGGAAGCTCGTAATTTGAGTCGGCAGAAGTGGGCAATTGACACGTGACTGAGGCCCTGTTAGGGTATATTTTCTGCTTTGATCATTTGGGACCGTTATTCGGAAGATAGCCAAAGTTTCTAAAGAGTTCTGTAGTTCTTCTCTTTTTATTTCTTACTTACACTCAAACTTCTATATTAGTCAGGGGTATTATTCATTTTTCTCTGACTATTATCTTTCCTCCTCATTTGCACTCACACCGCTTCAAAAATATCTCTTTAAAGGTGATAGTTAAGTTTCTTCTTCGTCTTTTTCTTCCTCTTAGTCATCGTCTTCTTTTTCTTCTTCTTCCTCATCTTCTTCTGTGCTTGTATGTATGTCTTTGTCTGTATGCATGTTTGTTCATGAATGTATGTGTGTACGCAGTACCTATGCATGTTTGTGTGAGTGCATGTGTATTTAAATTTATGCATTTGCCATCCATATTTTTCTGTTTTTACTTCATATGCATACTTTTTTCAGCTACTACAATCTTTGACATTTTTTGCTCATATCACACCAAGGTTGTTTTCTTCAACATCTTGTTTGAGAGATCCAATCCTGGGAACCCAACTGTTGCATAGATGAGTTGAACAGGATATCCTTGTTTAAATTACAACTACTTCTACAGCAGTTAACTTTTTCTGTTCAGATATACACCAGAGAGGATTTCTTCAATCTCTTTCCTAAAGAGATCCGACCCTGGGACTGCCTGCTCCTGTGGGGGACGTCCTATTCCAGGTCCACCCTACACATTGACCCTTACAACTGGACAGGCACCAATGCGGTCTTCAGTGGACAGAAGCGGTGGAAGGTGAGCAGTGAAAGATGTTGTCCATATATGTGCTTTTCATTATCATTACAGTATGCAAAGACAAGATACAAAATATTTACTCAGGTATGGTTTTTAACATGCAAAGCATATAATGGAATAATTGAAAATTTAAAGAAGAAAAAAAACACATGCAGGAGTGCAAGGAAATGAAAGAGCAGATTGTGTGGCTGCAAAAGTGATAGCTACAGGAACACTTGCACTGGACAAAGGAGACATTATAAAGAGCATTTGGGAATGAATGCTGGTAGAAGACATAGGCTTAGATGAAATAGCTTGTGTAAGAATATGGGAATGATGAACTAGGTGTCCATCGGGCAAGAAGGGATGTATGAGATGAAGAGAACAATGTGTTATAATCAGTGTGCTTCTGCAACAGTTAGCATCTACATCTTAAGATATTTACTATGGGAGATGAAACACCTCTGGGTATGCCCGATGTGTTATGATATTGACTCTGAAATCAATAAATCAGGGTGGAAAACCAGTAGTTATCCTTGAGACAAATGAAAACCGTAAACGGTTCTATCCAATATTTCCCCCCAAACAGACAGTCAAATATTTTAGGGGGTGGTAGATAGGCTGCTTGCAGTCGTGAGATCTAGGCTGCACTTTCTCTTGGGACATAGATGGGTTGGGGTTAGGCCCAGTTCTAGATGTTTTGGGGTCGTTAAAAGCATCAGAAAGCCGGAAAACCCGCCCTTACCACCCTGGAACATATTTGACTGTCCTGTGATGTCATCCTGGGGGGAGTTATTGGGAAAGAACCCGATAAACTGATAGAGAAATTAGATGTAGGCGGCCTGTGTTTTTCGGACAAATGAGAAGGACTGGAGAACTTGGCGACAACTGGCAAGATTGGTGGGGAAAAGAGCATGGGTAAGACAAAGAGATAAACAGCCAGATGGATTGACCAGATGGCCAGAGTTTTGTCAGCTGCTAGCATCTGCTCATCATGTGACATGCTACAATAGTAACTGAGCATCCTCCCATGCATATTAAAGGGGTTATGGTGCACTGACCCACAAAATAGCCGATCAGGTCAGTGTTCTTCTCTGGTCACATCCATATGGCCAAGCCATCCAGCTATTTATCTCTTTGTCTTCCAATTGCAGGCAAACTCTTTTTTCATCTGCCCTTGATCTCCAGTGGAGGATAGGCCCTCAGCCAACTGACTCCAAGATGTTCTATCCTTTGCTGTCACATGCAGCTCACCCCATGTCCTCCCCATCTGTTTAATTTCACTCTCTAGTCCCTTTGTGCATATGATTAGTCCACCTTTATTTCTATACCCTTGTGTGTTCCAGTTTAAAGCCCTTCTAGTTATTTTGTTTACTCAGTGTATGTCTCTCTCAAGACTTGGCATGATTCTGTGATATCATTTAGTTCCCTCTGTTCTGTGCAGGCACCAGTTAATGAATGTTTGTATTTTATTGGTAGTTATTTTACTTGTTCTTTATGTTTCTGCTCCGTACAGCAGAACTGATTTGACATTAGAGTTTTGTTTTTTTTAAATGGCAAACCAAAGAACATAAAAATTGCTTGGTCACACCAAAACAGCCAACGAATGCTGGGATTGGTTCTGCAACATCCTGTAAAGAATACACAATTGACTTCCTTTTCCTCTTTTTCCAACAGTTTTGTTTGTTACCAAGTTCTCAGGTCTGTTTGTTACTTCTTATCTATATCAACATCTATATCGGTCTGACCCGTTCGCACTTCGTCCTCAGATTCAGCAGCCATCTCCGTGTCTCTATGTTCCACATACCGGGTAGGAGTTGACTGGCATATCTGCTCTTTCTTTGCCCTGCACACCTGGTTCCTGCCTGCTTGTCCTCGTTGATTACCCATTTCCAACAGGCGGGTCATTGTCTCTGACTCCCTGGAGTCTGTTCCTGTACTTTGACTGACTCAAGTTTATGCTTTCTGTGTTCAGCTGCTGCTTCCTGGCCAGGACGGGCTTCTGAGTGTCCACCAAGATGCCACATGTGGGTTTCCTTTGGAGTGTCAGAAATATAATAGGTAACGAAACTCACTCGTGATACATGTTTCTGGTTTCTTTTGTACACGTGATTATTATCAAGTGTCTTTTATTTTTGTACGCTGTTATGATTATCAGCTATCTTTTTGTATTTGAGTAATACATATTAAAGTGTCTTTTCTACTCAATTATTATTGTATGTAGTGTCTTTTTATACATTAGTATTATTATTATCAGTACTTGGACATTGAGAAAAGAACACAAGAGAAAACTAACCACCTGTGAGATGAAATGTTTGAGAAAGGTTGTAAATAAAACCAGAAGAGATCAAGTAAGAAATGACGTGATCACAAGAAATTTTGGAACAACACTCATCATCAAATTTATTGAGAAACAAAGAATGAAATGGTTTGGCCATCTAATGAGAATGCAACCAACGAATCCAGCAGCAAGAGCGTACAACCTGAAAATCTAAACTCCAAGAGGCAGGGGAAGACCATGAAGGATATGGACTGAAGGAGTCACTGAAACCTTGAGACTGCATAACATCACAGCATCTCAAGTGACTGAGCACGCCCTGGCTCTGCTACCGATCGTCTGATGAACTGTGACACCTAGCGGCATAAGCAGATATTGACAAAAGAAGAAGAAGAAGATTAATATCAGTGGTGTGTATTTTTGTTTTGTGTTTTACATTATTATTGTTATTATTATCTAGTGTACCTTTTGGGTAGATGAGTATTATAACTAGTATTATCTTTTTTAATATCATATTGTCAGTGATATTTTGATTTTACTGCTTACGCCATTCCCTTACTGTGCTACCTGAGGCGGCCGCCTCTCTGTACTATAGCACCGCATGGCCCCGGGTAAATTCTGCCAACAGGAGGTGTAAGGCACGCTTTTGCTCAGCTGGCCTGTGGGATACCTCATGGGCAGGTGTGGGGTACACTCTGAATCCCTAGGGTTATGTCGGGGTTACGACAGCCAGGTGATGAATCAAAGTGTAGAGAGGCTAAAATTCCTACTCAAAAGTTATTGGCTGTAAATTGCAGCGTTTAATTACGCTGAAGGAAAAATAAAAGATACCCAAACAACAAAAAGGCCCATAATGCGTAGTGGTACATAAAACCAGGAAAAAATCAGCGCCAGGGATCATATTTTTGTATATACTTGAAATAATATGAAATATATACACAAATATTTTCAATGACAGTTTCTGTATATGAATAAAGGAAGGCCACACCCCCTTTTTCAACGTACACATACAATCAGTCAGTCAGTAGCCTGTCCTTTGCAGAACCTTGCTCCCATAACAACTTTTCAGAAAGTTTCTCAAACACAAGCAAGATGTCCCACTTCAGATACACCCATCTGGAGATCATCCGCCACATCCTGCACCCATCTGGAGATCATCCACAACATCCTTCTCCCATCAGGAGATCATCCGCCACATCCTGCACCCATCAGGAGATCATCCGCCACATCCTGCACCCATCTGGAGATCATCCACAACATCCTTCTCCCATCAGGAGATCATCTGCCACTTCCTGCACCCATCTGGAGATCATCCGCCACATCCTGCACCCATCTGGAGATCATCCGCCACATCCTGCACCCATCTGGAAATCATCCCTCACATCCAGCACCCATCTGGAGATCATCCGCCACATCCTGCACCCATCTGGAGATCATCCCCCACATCCTGCTCCTATCAGGAGATCATCCCCCACATCCAGCACCCATCTGGAGATCATCCGCCATATCCTGCACCCATCTGGAGATCATCCGCCACATCCTGCACCCATCTAGAGAAGATCCGTCACCCATCTAGAGATCATCCGCCACATCCTGCACCCATCTGGAGATCATCCGTCACATCCTGCACCCATCTGGAGATCATCCACAACATCCTTCTCCCATCAGGAGATCATCCGCCACATCCTGCACCCATCAGGAGATCATCCGCCACATCCTGCACCCATCTGGAGATCATCCACAACATCCTTCTCCCATCAGGAGATCATCTGCCACTTCCTGCACCCATCTGGAGATCATCCGCCACATCCTGCACCCATCTGGAGATCATCCGCCACATCCTGCACCCATCTGGAAATCATCCCTCACATCCAGCACCCATCTGGAGATCATCCGCCACATCCTGCACCCATCTGGAGATCATCCGCCACATCCTGCACCCATCTGGAAATCATCCCTCACATCCAGCACCCATCTGGAGATCATCCGCCACATCCTGCACCCATCTGGAGATCATCCCCCACATCCTGCTCCTATCAGGAGATCATCCCCCACATCCAGCACCCATCTGGAGATCATCCGCCATATCCTGCACCCATCTGGAGATCATCCGCCACATCCTGCACCCATCTAGAGAAGATCCGTCACATCCTTCACCCATCTGGAGATCATCCGCCACATCCTGCACCCATCTGGAGATCATCCGTCACATCCTGCACCCATCTGGAGATCATCCGCCACATCCTGCACCCATCTGGAGATCATCCGCCACATCCTGCTCCTATCATGAGATCATCCGCCACATCCTGCACCCATCTGGAGATCATCCGCCATATCCTGCACCCATCTGGAGATCATCTGCCACATCCTGCACCCATCTGGAGATCATCCGCCACATCCTGTACCCATCTGGAGATCATCCGCCTCATCCTGCACCCATCTGGAGATCATCCGCCACATTATGTACCCATCTGGAGATCATCCGCCATATCCTGCACCCATCTAGAGATCATCCGTCACATCCTGCACCCATCTGGAGATCATCCGCCACATCCTGCACCCATCTGGAGATCATCCATCACATCTTGCACCCATCTGGAGATCATCCGTCACATCCTGCTCCTATCAGGAGATCATCCGCCACATCCTGCACCCATCTGGAGATCATCCATCACATCCTGCTCCTATCAGGAGATCATCCGTCACATCCTGCTCCTATCAGGAGATCATCCGCCACATCCTGCACCCATCTGGAGATCATCCGCCACATCCTGCACCCATCTGGAGATCATCCGTCACATCCTTCAATCTGGAGATCACCCCTCACCCATCTTCTCTTTGGCCTTCCTCTTCCTCATATATTTACAAACAGCTACAAAATGGGGGGGGGGGGGGGGGAGGGCGAGACCTCAGAAGGAACTGACAGCCATGTCCAACAGTTCCAAGTACGTGTTGTCACTTTGCTTCGTTTAATTATGCCCCTTGTCTTTGCCTTGTTTAATTATGCATCGTCTGCCAGTAAAACGTTTCATGTTTTTATCAAGCCGTTATGATGAATTTCATTGTACCTTATATGTTGTTTGTTGTTTTCAGCAAGTATGACACATATGTAGAGACGGATCAGATGAAACGGAAGTTGAAGAAACTGAAGTATTTGGAAGTTGATCAAATGCCAGGAGAGATGCTCTTTATTCCTACTGGCTGGTTTCATCAGGTAGCTGGCCATCCATTTGATTACTGATTGGTTGGTTTAGTCAGGTCTGTGAATATCGCTGACTTCTGATTGGCTGGTTTAGTCAGCTCTGTGAACATAGCTGATTTATGATTGGCTGGTTCAGTCAGGTCTGTGAACGTAGCTGATTTATAATTGGCTGGTTGTCAGGTCGGTGAAGCTCATTTATGATTGACTGGTTTAGTCAGGTCTGTGAACGTAGCTGATTTATGATTGGCTGGTTTAGTCAGGTCTGTGAACATAGCTGATTTATGATTGGTTGGTTTAGTCAGGTCTGTGAACTTAGTTGATTTATGATTGGCTGGTTTAGTCAGATCTGTGAACATAGCTGATTTATGATTGGTTGGTTTAGTCAGGTCTGTGAACTTAGTTGATTTATAATTTCCTGGTTTAGTCAGATCTGTGAACATAGCTGATTTATGATTGGCTGGTTTAGTCAGATCTGTGAAAGAGCTGATTTATGATTGGCTGGGTAACTTAAGTATTTGATTGGCTGATCTATATAGTTTAACGACTGGCTCGATTATTCAGTATACTTGTGGAATAAGGTCAATATGTATGGTAATTGTCTGATATCCGGTCAGTGATTTTTACATGTCAACAGATAGGGGGACATGATTAGATTTCTGACATAAAGTTCTTGTTGTTTATCCACTTCTAAACTTAAGTCTTATTCCAGAACCTGCATACATGTCTGTTTTGCAGATCTGGCTTTTGTGAATTGCAGACTGTTGATTCCTCATCTCTCAGGCAGATGCGCTCCAAATTCAAAGGAAACACCTCTGATAAGTCCATTTTTATGACATGTTTTTTGGGTGGGTGTGGAGCAGTGGTTCCCCCTACCCCTACTTTTCCACCAGCTTACTGCCTGGAAACCTCACAGCGAGGATTTATCATCATCATCATGTGCCCTGCCAACTGCCATAAGCGCTCATGCGTCTCCACTGATCACGATCTCTGGTTGCCTGGAACAGCTCTCTTGACGATATTGAGGATTATGTTAATATATAAGTAAAGTAAAAAGCAAAGTCCCTTTCCCACACCTTCAGGCGTATTGGGCATATAGGGCTCGACCTATATTTTGTAGACCAATCAGCACTCAGTTCATGTGGTCAGCATTACGCCGGCCACTTTTACTTCCCAGGTCTTACCTGGTACCCAGTGAAAGTCGTGTCGACCTGGGAGCCAAGGTCATTTTGTGAAACAAGTCTGGCTCCATCAGGACTTGAACCCACGACCTTTAGATCCACAGGTAAGCATCTAGCCGCTACAGCACGGCAGCTCTACATGTTAATATTTGCGTGTATTTATTCTTATAGGCGTTCAACGTGGTACCCACTTTGGCTGTATCAGGGGAGCTGATGAATCGCAACAATTACCTGGCAGTGCTAGAGGAAATATTCCAAATTGGCAACCTGCCCCGGTCCGTACTGCCTCATGATGTTGAGAACTTGAGCCCACAGGAGTTGGTATGTCACCTGTGTTGTTGTTTTCTTGTTTGTTAGTGTCACAAAGTATGTTGAGAAAGGTGGAGACAGTCGGGACCCGTTCTGTACTGCCTCCTGATGTTGAGAACTTGAGCCCACAGGAGTTGGTATGTCATCTGTGCTGTTGTTTTCTTGTTTGTTAGTGTCACAAAGTATGTTGAGAAAGGTGGAGACAGTCGTGACCCGTTCTGTACTGCCTCCTGATGTTGAGAACTTGAGCCCACAGGAGTTGGTATGTCATGTGTGTTGTTGTTTTCTTGTTTGTTAGTGTCACAAAGTATGTTGAGAAAGGTGGAGACAGTCGTGACCCATTCTGTACTGCCTTATGATTGTTGAGAACTTGAGCCCACAGGAGTTGGTATGTCATTGGGATGTCATCTTCTTTGTTAGTTAGTTACACAAAATATGCTGCGAGAGGTGGAAACAGGCAAATCTATGCAGAATGGCAAGCATCGCTGCAGAGATCGCCTTGTGCTATTGTGTCGGTTATTAATAGATCTGTTTCCTTTGTCAGCGCCCTTTTGATGTTTTCTCCAGGACAGGCGGTTGTGTTAGAAAACAGACAGATTAGCCGGTTCTGCACCACTTGGTGGTGACTTCATGCAGGTCAAGCTTCTTGTGGTCGAGGCCCTTTGGTGCAAGTACTTTTTTTTCTTCACATTCACCAGCAAACTCTAAGAAAAACTCCAGCAGAAAGCTGTGGATGTTGATCCAAAACTGGACTTAGCCTTTTTCCGGAATCTGTTGCATCCACACAAGCATTTGACTGTGTGAAGCATGAAGAAGTAATCAAACTGTTAGAAAAATTAACATTGATGGGAAAGATCTACGAATAATAAAAAATATGTATTAGCAGCAAACAGCAGCTATAAGAATTAACAACTGTTTGGGTACATTTCAAAGCATAAAGAGTGGCATACGACAAGGATGTGTACTGTCACCTGATTTGTTTTCAATATACAGTGAATATATAATGAGAGCTTTAATTGGGATGCCAGGAATTGTGGTTGGTGGGCACAATATAAACAATTTACATTATGCTGATGACACAGTCTTGATAGCAACAAGTCAGAAAGAATTACAGGAAATGATAGACATTGTGGTGTTAGAAAGTGGAAGAATGGGCCTCAGTTTGAATAATGGGAAGACAGAAGTAATGATGGTATCAAAGAAACAAATTATTCCTAAGTGTGTAATAAAAGTTGATGGTGTTATTTTAGGACAAGTACAGAAATTTAAGTATCTGGGCACATGGATAACATCAGATGGAAGATGCATAAATGAGATAAGAAACAGAATAGGACAGGCAAAAACTGCATTTTTATAAAATGAAAAACATCTTGTGCAATATATCCTTGTCATTAAGAGTTAGAAAAAGAATTATTGCTTGCTACATACATCCAGTTTTAACATATGGCTGTGAATCCTGGATAATCGGTAGGCAGGCCAAACAATATCTGGAGGCCTCAGAGATGTGGTTTTACAGAAGAATGCTTAGAATACCTTGGACAGCCAAAAAGAGCAACCAAGAGGTTTTGAAAGAGGCGGAAGCCCGAAGACAACTTATCACAGTTATCAGAAGGCGACAGTCATCATTTTTCGGCCATGTTATGAGACGAGGGAAAATAGAACATGTTGTGACCACTGGAAAGATCTTTGGAAGGAGAGATAGAGGAAGACAACGAGAGAAGATGCTTGACAGTCTTGTTGCATGGCATGGAGGTCTGTCGGCACACAAACTGATACATGCTGCAGGAGATCGCAGATTATGCAGAGGCATGATCGCCCACGTCAGTGGGCAAGGCACCTGATGATGGTGATGATGATGCATCCACATATATTTCACATGTCTTTTGGTTCCTGGGCAGATGCCCTCTGACTTTGAAGGATGTCACCAATTAGTCGACTTCGACGACATTCTTGTTGGTGAAGCAGTGTTTCTGTTTTTGTATTCCCACAATGGGGCCTCGAAACCCGTGCAGGAAAAGGTAACAGAGTGGAAGCATAAATAGATCATCCCAGTCTTCCAAAAAAAAATGGGAATATCACAGCAGTGCTGGCACAAAGCAGTTATACACTAAACATAAATTAAACGAATGAAAAAGAAGAGATACTATTTGGTGATTTCTTAATATCCTACCCTAAACTGGGAAAATCCACAGGTCACAGGAATGTCTAATAATTAAAGCGGGTGGTAGATAGATAGACCGCATGCAGTTGTGGGACCTAGGCTGCATGCAGTAGTGGGATGAAGGTGGGTTAGGGTTAGGGCCAGTTCTAGACGTTTTGGGGTTGTTAAAAGCATCAGAAAGCTGGGAAACTCAGTCTTACCACCCTCTGAAATGTTGGACTGTCCTGTGACTTCATCTGGGGTAGGATATTACAAAAGAGCCGACTATTTTCAACACCTTTTCTTATGAAATATAGATTGAATATTAAGTAACTCATGTTAATTTTGTTCTTTTCCTTAGGTGAAATTTGTTATGTCCAAAATGCCACAGAAAATCCTCGACCACGGAGCTGAGTGGACCAGAAACATTATTGAAAACTTGTATAACCCATCGCGACAGAACCAGTGAAGTTTTTTGTTTTTAGCAGCTCACACAGGAAGGTCCTGACATGGTCCCCAGTAGGAATTTCCTGTTTAACCCCAGTAGGACATGCCAGGAATTCTTTGTTTGTCCCTAGTAGGACATTCCTGATTGTCCCCAGTAGGACATTCCCGGACTTTCCTGATTGTCCCTAGTAGGACATGCCAGGACTTCCCTGATTGTCCCTAGTAGGACATGCCAGGGCTTTCCTGTTTGTCCCTAGTAGGACATGCCAGGACTTCCCTGTTTTTCCCCAGTTGGACATTCCATGACTTCCCTGTTTGTCCCTAGTAGGACATTCCTGGACTTCCCTGATTGTCCCTAGTAGGACATGCCAGGGCTTCCCTGATTGTCCCTAGTAGGACATGCCAGGATTTTCCTGTTTGTCCCCAGTAGGACATTCCTGGACTTCTCTGTTTGTCCCCAGTAGGACATTCCAGGACTTCCCTTATTGTCCCTAGTAGAACATTCCATGACTTCCCTGTTTGTCCCCAGTAGGACATTCCTGGACTTCCCTGATTGTCCCTAGTAGGATATGCCAGGGCTTTCCTGTTTGTCCCTAGTAGGACATGCCAGGACTTCCCTGTTTGACCCCAGTAGGACATGCCAGGACTTCCCTGTGTGACCCCAGTAGGAAATGCCAGGACTTCCCTGTGTGACCCCAGTAGGACATTCCAGGACTGTTTGTCCCTGTCTTTGGTGCACAAGAAATTGTTTACAAAAATAATATAAATCAAAAGAATGGCTGTAATCAAAACCAGAGGAGACTGTTGGAAAGAAAGAGGTTGGAAGAACTATTGTGATTCAAGGACTGAAATAGTTTGCACAGCTAATAATGTTGAATTAAGAATCGACATCACAGCACTCAGGACATGACACCCCCATAAGCGCTCCGTCCCCATCTTCAGCAGCAATAAGCTAATAAGATGAATCCAATAATGCTGGTAGTTAATTTAGCCACAATTTTAGGCGGAATCTTTGAGATTAATTTAGTCACAATTGGAGGAGGAATCTTTGAGATTAATTTAGTCACAATTAGAGGCAGAATCTGAGAATAATTTAGTCACAATTGGAGGCGGAAACTGAGAATAATTTAGTCACAATTGGAGGCCGAATCTGAGAATAATTTAGTCACAATTGGAGGCTGAATATTTGAGATTAATTTCGAAATTTGGAAATGAAATATAAGGTTAATTTAGTTCGATTTACAAATGAAACCTGCAACAGTTAATTCAGCCGCATTTGAAAGTTAAATCTGTCTGGTTAAATGACTGACATTCACAAATGACATTGACAAGATTAATTTAATTTAGTCACGTACACATGAAGTATACACGGCTGTGGTGATGTTGACAATTTTAAGATCAGCAATGTTATAATCCTGTGATAATATTTAGAGTTACATCTGTTTTGTTTCAAGACTTTCCAAAATGTTTGTATTTTATTAATAAAATTGTATCATATTCAGTAGATTGATGTTATTCCTCAATATATGTTAAGACTAACACAAGAGTTGGTGCACCACAGAGAGCCGTGTTAAATGGAAGCTTCTTAATGTTTACCAGCTGTAAACTCCTATGGAAAATTCTGGTTGCTCATCCACTTCTGGAATTTGGTCCTAATCTAAAAACTTGAGTTTTGCAGGCACGTTTATTTCACAATTTTGCTTATGAGTATGCAGACTGTTGGTTAAATACAGAAGTTCTGGAGAATGAGATGAGTTATTGAAAGAAATAAGAGACAATTGAAATATTCTGGCCACATTAAAAGACAATATGCTGTTAAAAAAAAAACCAATACTGGAGCGAAGGTTGAGAGCAAGAGGTAGACAATGATGCAAGTGGGAGGAGAACACCAAGAGATGGACGAACAGCGGTGTGAGAGAGCGTGTAACCAAGAAAAGAGACAGGGCGTGTTGGAGATCAATTGCAGTCAAACTTTCTTGTGGAGACAGTTGCTGATTGATTGATAACCATGCTTATTAGGGGGTCTGTTCTTTTCGCACCCCCCCCCCCCTTTTTTTTTCCAGGATCATAGTTGGAGATCAATGGGTTATTTTTACAATAGTCTCCCCATTTTCCCACCACCAGTTGTAGGTCAACGTCATTGATAAGTTGGTTGGACTAGTCTACTGTGGTCGTGGTTATGGGTGTCGCAGTCTGGTATTTATGTTTTTATTTCTGAGAAGTCACAGCCTGTGACATAGGTTTTGTCACTCTCTAGGGGGGTTGTGTGTTAGACCCAGTATCTGAATGTTTTAGAAGTGTTAAAAGCTTTGTGATGGTGAAATATACAACCATATGAGCGCGAGTGCGGAATATCCCGGTGACCTTGTGTGAAAGTCGGATCGCTCGAGGCAGACCTATCAGAAGTGAGGTGATCAGTAGGTCGTCCAATCAGAAGCGAGCTAGTGTGTAGTGGTGTGCAAATGAGGAGACCAGCGTAAAAATACCGATCAATGGAATATCTGAGGCTGTGAATACCAGAGTCTACATTGCTCACAACAATGCTAATGGATAAGTAAGTCAAGATCCTTTTTCATGCCTTTAGGTGCATCGGGCATATGGGAAAAGCACCCCATATTTTTACAGACCAATTGGCACTGGGTGGGCAATGTTGTCAGCATTATGCCGGCCGCTTTTACTTCCCCAGGACATCCATCCTGGTACCCACTTCAGGCTAGGTCGACCTGCGACACCCCACACCACGATAAAAATCCCCTCAGCCAGCAGTGGGTTTCGATCGTGGTACGTTGGAATTACGAGTCGGACTCGCAATGCCTAAGCCACGAAGGCTGCTATGCTACTGATACCTCTTTAAAACCTAAATCCGAAAAGAGAGAAGTTATGCTTCCCCATGTAAGTTCCGGGGGTCCAACTGTAAGGAAAACAAGAAACCCACTGCCTACCCAAAAACATGTCCAAGACTTGACTAACTGGGAACTTCCTTCGAAGTTGGAGTGCATCTATCGAAGAGGTAATGAACCAAAAGACTGCATATAAATGAGCCAGATCTGTAAAATGGGTGCGCGATCAACACTAAAGATTCTGGAACAGGACCACAGTCTAGAAGTGGATGAACAACCAGAACTTTCAGCCGGAGTTTACAGCTGGTGCACACAAAGAAACTTCTAGGTCATTCTTGTTCTGCATTTAAAAGGGCAGCTGGCACTTTGTGTTGTGGTTTACAGTTCTAAAAGTTCAACACCCTGTGGTGTTGGTAGTCATGTCGACCCACAACCTTCTGTCTCCTGGGCATACAGTTAGACTGCAATTAGCTCTAGACAGGACATTATGGTCCAGATGAACAGTGTTGTCATAATGGCCATTTAAAGATGGCCACCCCACTTTTGACATGCAACAAAGAGCAGCAGCTTCCTGTTAACCATTTTGTTATCAGTGAAGGGATGGCAGGAACCCACATAAAGTCAGTCCACACACACACAATTTTAAGATGATGTGAACCCACACAAAGTCAGTCAACACACAAACATTTTAAGATGTGAACACACAAAGTCAGTCAAGACACAAACATTTTAAGATGTGAACACACAAAGTCAGTCAAGACACAAACATTTTAAGATGATGTGAACCCACACAAAGTCAGCCTGTAAACAAGGAAAATGACAGACATAAACCGACACAAAGGCAGTCCGTTCAAGGTAACAAACTCACACATAACACTAGTACAGATTTATTCTCAGATCATTACATTTATTGTTTTTTTTTTTTACATGACTGCTGTGTTGAGAGAGAAACAAAACAAAACAAAAAGTCTTGAAGATGCATGCCGCACAGCATCAAGCACACCAAGCTATGATGAGCAGTGGAAGTGTTCCAACCCTTGCCTTTCATGCTCACACGGACCACAAAGCAGACGGTGAATGGCAAGTAAAGGTTCTTGCTCTGCCTGCTAAAGTTTATACATTTCATTTGCTACAAGTACAATTTGGTTTCATATACAAGAAACAAAAAATCTTTCACCCAGCTTAGTTTGATCATTTGTTATCATAGCTGTGTCTGCGTAGCACGTCACTTTGCAAGCCACGCCTGGGATGTCTGTCACATAACATTAACTGTCTTGGATTAGTCACATAATTATTACCTTCCTGTGTGGGTTCCAGAGCCCCAATTTAGTCGGATGAGTTTGGGGCTGAAATAATCAGAGATAAAACAATCCAGCCATAAACCACAACATTCTAATGAATCTGGACTTTTTTCTTTAATGACCTTGACTCCCGGCCTTGGGATGGTAGCAGGTATAGTCCTGGGAAGTAAAGGTGGCAGGCGTGCTGTTGATCACATCACATATCAAGTGCCGATTGGCCTATGAAATACAAGACAGGCATTATATGCCCAATACGCCCGTTTGCACGGAACAGGGCCCTTCAATTTACATAAACCACAACATAACTTGCTAATTCCCATTTTAAGGGCCAGTACTGGGCTCTCATGTGGAAGACCCAGGTTCAAATCCTCGGCAAGGTCATGGATGTTTTTCTACCACAAGCACAAATACAATTATGACCTGCACAGTCCGTGGCAACAGCACTAGCAGTGTGGCACTAAATTCCCAGACTCACCTGCAGACTAAACCACAGAAAGTGGTAAATCAACAGAAGAAAGCTCATACGGCATGCCTTATATATAAATATACATGTGTGTGTCACGTCACTCTATTAGACTTACTTTTTGTTATATCGTGACAAGAATCCTGTCTCTAACGTTGGCCACGTCACAGCAGTGTTCTTGATGCATCCAGTCACATTATTATCTGTTTTTGTGTGTGACATCCCTTTACCAGCCAAATATGTTATTTCTTACGCCAGTTTACATTTACCAGCCGAATCTTCCCTGGCTGTTGTCACTTTATGAACCAGATTGTGCTATGTCTGAGGTCGCCGGCCAAATCATCAACATCTCTCAAGTCACCATACCAGCCATATCATTGATATGTATTACGTCACTCTACCTGTCAAATATTGTGTGTGTCCTAGATCACTCTACTTGTCAAATCTTGTGTGTGTCCTAGGTCGCTCCAACTGTCAAACTTTTGTCCTACGTCACTTTACCAGACAAATCTTTGAAATATTTGTGGTGACCAGTCCTGTCGTATTGGCAGTTCAATGCCACTTTGTGACAAATCAGTCGTGTCATCCTGCTCTGTCTTTGCACACATTCTACATCACTTTACTATTAGAACTATGACATTCCCAAAGGCAGACAAGACTGAAATTCCCGACAGTTCACTGGCACAGGGTCAAAGTCACCTTAGTACAATTTCAGCAATTTCCACTTTATTGCAATTTCAGTTATTTCCACTTTATTACAATTTCAGTTATTTCCACTTTAGTGTAACTTCTACCTAAGTGCATTTTCAGCACTTTCCACCTCGGCACAATTTCAGGGTAGTAACGTAACAATATATCAATATGTGAATTCCTACCCAAAACAGCAGGCTCTGTTCCAAACTTTGGTGTTGTCCTTTCCTTTGGCGTAAACAAGGCAGACCAAGGGACTGACTGACTGACTTTCCACCCCACCAGGACATCACACAAGCGATATACACCCGATGACACAAAGTGCCACCATGTGGATGAGGCACACAGTGGAGAGGTCCCAGAAACCGCGTTCAGACATCTGGCCATGCCGCGTTCAGACATCTGGCTATATTTATGGCCTGCCTATATTGCGGCCCGTGGCAAAAGCCAAAATGGGGCTTCAACCAAACCAAGGGAGGGAACCTGATGCTAGATATGGTCTCTACAATAGGGCCCAGGCTTTGAGCCGAAAAGTGGGAGGAGGAAGTTGTTGCCAGTCACACACACCCTCACCATGGGCTGTGGTACCAATGTCTTCCTCCAGCACAATGTAACTATCGTCTGGAAGCACTGGAAGCTGCCAACAAGTCTTTCTCTTTAACAATCTCTGGCTGGTCATGCACTTCATCCGTTGTGAGCTGTAAACTGGGATCTCAATTGAAAGTCTTTCAGGTATCTCCCGAAACTTAGTGGCCAGGTCTACTGGGTGCGGCCACATGTTTATTCACAGATCAAAAAGTATTACTTTCCAGGCAACTAGGCAATGTCACTTTCAACTCAACGTTAAAGTGATTTTCTCGAAACACTCAGATGGCTTTGGCCTAGTGACAGACGAGACCTTGTCACCGACAACACACAGCCCACCAACTGTGTTGCCGGAAAAATAAATAAATGTTCACAGAATGCTATCAAACCCTTCTTTCACGTAAAGAAATTAACCAAAAACTCTTTTATGCACAGAGGTTATATAACCATTACACTTAAAACGCGAGGAAAAAACACAAAAACCAGAAAAGCATGTGGGAAAACAAAATAGTTTACATATATGAAGAATATTATACAGAGCGTCTCTCTTTGTCAAAAGCAGTATCGATAGATGGAAGATGATGGTTTTAATCAGCTAGGGTAAAAAATGATGACGACGTGATCGGGGACTGGCCAGATGAAAGACACACACAAATCAATCATTTCGACCAGAATCTTTCCCGGCTAACTAAAGAAAAATGAAACAATGACAGAGCAACTGCCAATTTTGTGAGTGTGACACACGTGTTTGGATCCTTCGACCTCTATTGTCATCGAATTGGTTCAACTGAGAATAAACAAGTGACCTAAATTATCAGTTGTAATCAAAAAGATTTCTTCCTCCTTGTCCTCTATGTCATTGATTTTTCAGGCCTTGAAATCATCTGTGGGGCAACGTATGTCCTCCTCTCCTTTTTCACATTCACCTACCCAGAGATATACTTTTACAAGCAGGTCCTCCGTTGATCCTAGCAGCATAGTTTCCACTGTCATCCCAAACATCAGGTAAGTGTTCACGTTCCCAGTCTCCTATTTCCTTCTGTATGCTGCCGACAAATACTTTGGTCGACACAGTTGATTTTTGGTGTCTTTCATTCCATACGATTGCTGAAACAGTGTGATGCACCAACAGTGACAGTGTCAATAGGGGTGTCTATTTTTTTTGTCTGTGTCAATATTGAATATTTAGCTTGTTAATTACGTTTGGTTCTTCTTGTTCTTGTCTCTACTCCCTGGAATTCCTGGCAGCGTCGGGGCAGGAAGCAATCTCTAGGATCTCTTTTCATGAGATCTCTTTATTTGTCTATGAGCACTAAATAAACCACTGTCGGTTTGCTGGAACAGTCACAGTTTTGGTTATCTGTATTAAATAGCCAAAAAGTAAATGATAAGCATAAATGTCTATATAACTATATATCCCAATTTAAACCCAGATGGGTTGAACAGAGGCCAAATTTCTTTGATAAACAACCATTTATCTTTTTTGTTATTTATGTTTAAAGTTACATATTTTAATTCCATTTGCTCTTAAAACACACTCTCCCACCCCCTTTTACGCTATTTTTAGGCAACATATATCCATATCCTGATCTCAGCAGAGGCAAACATACCCAAATGGTGTGAACTAGGCACCGCGGAAACACACGTTACTGTAGAAATGCCGAGTAAGCAGCATTTACCGCAGGGATATTCGACTAAGTTTACTGTGGGGCCAAATTTTAATTTATTGGGAATGCCGCGGACCCTGCCTGAATCGCAGCATACAAAGATCAGTGATTTAATTCAACTGGCAATGGTCTGCGGGCCACCAGTTGAACAGCCCTGACTGACAGGATAGAATCACGGCTAGACGTGCTGTGTTTGGGACTTCTCGGGGGCGAAAGAATTGTAAGGGGAGCGTGGAAGCAGCTGTAGATAGTAATGCTTTTACGCACTGACAAACAAGTATTATAACATACATTATACTGTTGAGATGAGATGGCAGGGAAAGGATGAGGATGGTGCTGACAATGATGATGCTGGAAACGATCATGGTGGCGATGATGATGATGATGATGACGATGATGATGATCAAGGTCTGGGTGCAGCAGCAGCAGCAACCACCTGGTTGCCCATCAGTTCCAGATTTTTAAGAAGCTATCCCAGGATCCGGTGGCCACAGCAGAGCCGTCCTCGGTGACACCCAGGCAGCTCACCCGGTTGTCGTGACCGGCCAGAACACCTGGTAACAGAGGTTCACATGTCAAAATAGGTTCAAGGGCAACCGAGGTTCAAAGGTCAAGATATGTAAAATAAAGTAAAGATTTTACATTTTACTTCTTCGTGTTCACAGGATGTAAACTCCTGCGGAAAGTTCTGTTTGTTCACCCACTTCTGGATTTTAGTCTTTCTTCTAGAACCTGAGTGCTGCGTGTGCATCCATTTTACAGACATGACTCATTTGTATGCAGCAGTTGGTTCCTTGCCTCTCCGGCAGGTGCACTTCGACGGAAGCTCCCAATTAGTCGACTATTACGACAAGCTTTTGGGCAGGCAGTGAGTCTATTCTTGTTTTTCCTACAACAGGGCCCCGGAACCCACACGGGGAACCAAATAACTGATCATGTGGGAGACAATGTGAGTGAGAAGTGCCATCAAAGCATTCTGGGCATTCCCATAAGCGCTCTGTCCCCATCTTCAGCAGCTAGCACCGAGTTCCTTGCTCCTTAGGTAGATGTGGAGATTATGCTGGCCAGGCGTATGGTAGAGAGAAGCTGTTTCCAGGATGACCGTGGAGAGGTGCAGGCAGGTGCTGACCAGTGTGAGACCAGTCCTGGTGCACCACCTGTTGTGTACTGAACTAACAAATGACATCACAGCACTGGGGACACTCCCATAAGCACTCCGTCCTTATCTTAGGCAGCCAGCAAAGAGTTCTCCAATAGCACCAGTAGCAGTTCGATTATAAGCCTTTCCCCTGAGTGTAGACATGGTTGGTTAGTTAGTTAATCGACAGATTATCCTCAGTGCACATTGGACACTCCCATAAGCACTCCGTCCTCGTCTTAGGCAGCCAGCAAAGAGTTCTCCAATAGCACCAGTAGCAGTTCAATTATAAGCCTTTCCTCTGAGTGTAGACATGGTTGGTTAGTTACTTCATCGACAGATTATCCTCAGTGCACATTGGACAGGTCCATAAGCACACGGATCCCATTTTCAGCATCTCCCCCAGCATGTGGCGACTGATAACACCAGTTCTGTGTTGGTTGACTATTCTTCTTTAGCCACTTGTATAGCGTTCCTATTTGGCAACATCTCTTTTCACCTGAAGTTTTTGTTGTCTTCCCCTTTGTTCACCGGCTGTATAAGCTCCTGCGGGAAGTCCTGGTTGTTCATCCATGTGAACTTTTGCTTTGTGCCAGGACCTGAACTTTGCCTGTTTACCAGTTTTACTGGTTCATTTGTGTGCAGCTGGTCGTTCCTTGCCGCTCAGGCAGATGCCCTCCGACCTTGAAGGAAGCTCTCAATCAGTCAACACTTAAGACATACTAGTTGGGGACCCAGTGGGTCATTTCTTGTTTTCCCCACAACAGGACCCTAAACCCACATGGGGAGCTTGTAGTCTTTTCTGTGTTGCCCATTCAACGTCGTCTCCTGACTACAGTGTGTTGCCCAATCCCCTGGTCAGTCTCAGCTGTACAAACCTCTCCAGACAATAATGACCCATTCATGCCTCCACATTGTTTACTTGCTCCCAAAGGGCCCTTGACCACATCTAGCTTGTCATACATTCATTCAGAACCTATTGGTGCAGAACAGCTAATCTATCTGTCTGTTCATTTCCCAACACTCAAGCATCGACCGGAGAAAATAACACACACAAACGCTAACTACCAGGGACCTCTGAAGCATGCCAGTTCTTCACCTTTCTTAACATGCTTTGTGAGTCAGTTGCAAACAAGAAACATGCATGCACTGGCTCTCAAGCTAGTGGAAAGCTACAGTGACTGCCTCCACCTCCATTCTCATAGTTTGTTCGCTCGTTCGTTCTCAAATTTGATGTTGCAGTATCATAAGCTTCACCTCACTAAGAGTTATCCATTCAATTTTTTTTCCCCAGAACCAAATAAACACAGAAAGGAGATGAAAGAAAGGAAATGAGAGAGGGCAGCACTCACCGGCACGCTCCTGCTTCAGTACATCCCACACGTTACAGTTGAAATCGTCGTAGCCACCCAGCAAGAGGCGGCCAGATTTGGAAAAGGCTACGCTTGTGATGCCGCAGATGATGTTGTCGTGGGAGTACATGCCGATTTCCTGGTCGGCACGGATGTCAAATAGACGGCAAGTGGCGTCATCGGAGCCGGTGGCAAATGCATGCCCATTGGGGAAATACTGTCAGGGAAAAGATGAACAAGTGCATGTTGGTCATATTTTAGGATACATGTCATTATGTGTGTTGATTGTCACAGTTCGTGTTAAAAGTTATAGCATGGTTATATGTGGCTTATATGTAAAAGAGACACAGAGAGAGAAGGTGAGAGAGGTAGAGAATGAAAAGAGAAAAGTGAGATAGAGAAAATATGAGTGCCAAAATAAAGAGGATTGTCTGAAAGAGAGTAACAAAACTAATAAGGAAGAAGAGAAAGAAATAGATTCAGAGAAAAACAAAGCAGAGAGAACAAGAGAGAGAGAGAGAGAGAGAGAGGCCAGGAAAAGAAAACAAAGGAGAAAGGAGAGCAGAAAGAAGTGAAGGGAAAGGGGTGGGGATACAGAAATAGAGAAAGACATGGGAGAAAAGAGACAGCTTAATCAGGGGGAGAGAGAGAGCGCACGTGTGTGTGTGTGGGGCGGGGTGGGGTGGGGTGGGAGATAGCGACAGTGGGGAGAGCGACAGAAAGAGAGAAAGAGAGGGAAAAAAGAAATAGAGAGAGAGACAGAGGGAGAAAGAGAGGAAAAGAGAGAGAAAGAGAGACAGACAGAAAGAGAGAGAGAGAAAGAGGCAGACAGACAGATAGAGAGAGAGAGAGAGAGATAGATGCCTGGGGTACTCACAGTGATTGCATTAATATCTGATTCATGTCCAGACAGAGGCAGACAGACAGATAGATAGATAGATGCCTGGGGTACTCACAGTGATTGCATTAATATCTGATTCATGTCCAGACAGAGGCAGACAGACAGACAGACAGACAGATAGATAGATGCCTGGGGTACTCACAGTGATTGCATTAATATCTGATTCATGTCCAGACAGAGGCAGACAGACAGATAGATAGATGCCTGGGGTACTCACAGTGATTGCATTAATATCTGATTCATGTCCAGACAGACAGACAGACAGATAGATAGATGCCTGGGGTACTCACAGTGATTGCATTAATATCTGATTCATGTCCAGACAGAGGCAGACAGACAGAGAGATAGATAGACGCCTGGGGTACTCACAGTGATTGCATTAATATCTGATTCATGTCCAGACAGAGGCAGACAGACAGACAGAAAGATAGACGCCTGGGGTACTCACAGTGATTGCATTAATATCTGATTCATGTCCAGACAGAGACAGACAAACAGACAGATAGATAGACGCCTGGGGTACTCACAGTGATTGCATTAATATCTGATTCATGTCCAGACAGAGGCAGACAGACAGACAGATAGATAGACGCCTGGGGTACTCACAGTGATTGCATTAATGTCTGATTCATGTCCAGACAGAGGCAGACAGACAGACAGATAGATAGACGCCTGGGGTACTCACAGTGATTGCATTAATATCTGATTCATGTCCAGACAGAGGCAGACAGACAGACAGATAGATAGACGCCTGGGGTACTCACAGTGATTGCATTAATATCTGATTCATGTCCAGACAGAGGCAGACAGACAGAGAGATAGATAGACGCCTGGGGTACTCACAGTGATTGCATTAATATCTGATTCATGTCCAGAGAAAGTCTGCTTGCACATCCCATCTCGTATATCCCACAGCTGAAACAGAACAACCAGCAGCAGCACATCGCATGAGAAAGGAGACACACAAACTTTAGCTGGTCTATTTTCTCTCATACTAGTACTTACAACCACCCATCCCTGCTGTACCATGCAGACACCAACAAAAATCAAGACTCAATCTTCATCGACACAACCAAGCCTGAACTCTACTCATACACAGCAAAGCCTCAACTTTGCTACACACACACACAAGTCTCTTCTGTGCTCACACACACACACACATTTAAGTATCTGCTATGCTCACACACACAACCAAGCCTCAACCTTGTCACACACACAACCAAACTTCAACTATGTTCACACACACAACTAAACTTCAACACACACACAACCAAACTTCAACTATCCTCACACACACAACCAAACTTCAACACACACACAACCAAACTTCAACTGTGCTCACACACAACCAAACTTCAACTATGTTCACACACACAACTAAACTTCAACACACACACAACCAAACTTCAACTATGTTCAGACACACAACCAAACTTCAATTGTGCTCACACACAACCAAACTTCAACTATGCTCACACACACAACCAAACTTCAACACGCACACAACCAAACTTCAACACACACACAACCAAACTTCAACTGTGCTCACACACAACCAAACTTCAACTATGCTCACACACACAACCAAACTTCAACTATGCTCACACACACAAGCAAACTTCAACACACACACAACCAAACTTCAACTGTGCTCACACACAACCAAACTTCAACTATGCTCACACACAACCAAACTTCAACTATGCTCACACACACAACCAAACTTCAACTATGCTCACACACACAACCAAACTTCAACTACGCTCACACACACAACCAAACTTCAACTATGCTCACACACACAACTAAACTTCAACACACACACAACCAAACTTCAACACACACACAACCAAACTTCAACTATGCTCACACACACAACCAAGCCTCTACTGTGCTCGCACACATAACCAAGTCTCAACTGTGCTCGCACACACAACCAAGCCTCAACTGTGTTGTTGTTGTTGTTGTTATCGATCCAGCGGCGCATGAGCTTTCGCCCTTTGGCCCAATGCCATGTAGTGGAATTTGCATGTTTTCACAAGCTGTTCTTTTCCTCCGTACAAGGTGTTCCACTTGTCTGGTCTCGGAGGGAGTAGCGTTCTTCTTGTCTCACTGAGTTTTGGGCACTCAAAGAGATGGTGTTCAACAGTTTCGTAGGGGTAGTTACATAGCTGGCACTCTGGGGAGTGTTGTGGCTGTATTCTGTTTAGGTGTCCATTGAGTGGAGTATGTTGCGTTCTAAGTCTGAAGATGGTGGCCTGGTCCCTTCTTGTTAGATGGTTAATGCTGTCATTAGGATCAGGGCCAGACATATGTCTATAAACCTCTCTTCCAGTGTCTCCCATGGCCCATCTGTTCAACCAAGTCTCTTTGTTTATAGCTCTTATCAGTGTTTTTGCTGTCTGGAGGGTTGTCGCTGTAGGTGGTTGTTCTTGTGTTGCTCCTTTCTTTGCCAATCTGTCAGCTCTGTCATTACCTGGTGTGCCGGAGTGACCTGGAATCCACTGCATCACTATTCTGATGTTGTATGAGGTAATAAGCTGATCGGCATCCAGGATTATCTTGGCTATGTCAGTTCTGCAGCGTTCATTGCCCTCCAGAGCTTGAAGGGCAGACATTGAATCTGTGAAGATGACAATATTTTGGACCTTTGAGGGGTAAACATCCATTACAGTCTTTAGGTGGTATACGGCTGTTTCCAGTGCAATTATTTCAGCTTCATAGTTTGAACAGAATTCCCCGCATGCATCAAAAATCTCTTCAACAGATCCATCGGGATAACCTATGTAGATTCCGTAACCTGCTTTAATGGTAGCTTTAAATGCTGATCCATCAGTATAGACATGTATCCATTCTTGGGGGTAAGAATCAACGGTCTTTAGTGATGAGTTCATAAGAGCGATTGGGTCGGACTGTTTGGTTTCCTCGCCTACCAATTTAGTTTGGACTTCTGGAGCTTTAAAGCGAGCATGTGGTGGTAGGTTTTTTGCAACATTCTGAATTCCTTGACGTCTTTCTGGGAGGTGGTATCTGTCCTGAATTTCATTAACACAGTGTAAAACCGATTTGTGCTTTATTCTTTGTTTGGACTCCCAGTTTTCTACAAGATGTCTATTAGGATGGTTACGATTTTTCCTAACGCATCTTTCATAAATTTCTAAAGTGGCTTTTTCTCTCCGCAACCCGAGGGGTTCCACATTTGTATGGATTTCACATGCAGCAGTTGGTGTAGACTGCATAGCTCCGCAGATTAATCGGAGGGCATTATTTTGTACTCTGTCAAGAGTCTCTAGGTTAGTTTTGGAACAAGTTGTAAGCAGTGAGTTGTTGTACTCTATCACAGAGCGAACATATCCTAGGTATAAGCCCCTCAGAGTTTCCTTGTCTGATCCCCATGATGTACCTGCAAGTCTCTTTAATAACTGTAACCGCCTCAATGCCTTATTCCTGATGTTTTCAATATGGTTCTTGAGGCTGAGCTGCGGGTCAAGTGTGACTCCAAGGTATGTGGGATGCTCTTCTTTCATCACTTGGTGTTTGTCTAACCTCAGGTTAATATTCTTCCTTGCTACTTGGTGGCTTTTGGTAAAGATTGTGTAGACCGTCTTTGCACAGTTAATCTTGAGTTTCCATCTTTGGCAGTAATCATGCAGTCTTCTAAGGTCTCCATTCAACTGTGTACACATACACACAAGTCTGTAAAAAGCTCTCGGTTGGTGTAAACAGTGACCATGACAGTAATGTTAATGATACTATTTGAAGAAGCAATACTTCAGTGTAGTCAAATAAAATTAAAATTATGGATTCTAAAACAAAATAAAAAAATGTACCTTTGCTGAGGCATCGCAAGCGCCGGAGACAAAAGTTCTAAAGTCTGGTGACAGCGACAGGCTCATGACGTCACCAGTGTGTCCAGTAAATGAGGTCGTCTGCTGGCCTGTTTCTATATCCCACAATGCACTAGAAGACAAACACACAGAAAAAGTCTCAAAATGTTACTTGTCATAGTCAAGATCAATCGGTAAAGACCAAATGGCAACCTAAGAGAAACACATGAATGGCTTGGCCATATTTGAAGGTGCTTAGGCGTTGCGAGTCCGACTCGTAATTCCAATATACCATGATCGAAACCCACTGCTGGCTGCGTGGATTTTTATCATGGTATGGGGCGACGCAGGTCGGCCCAGACTTAAACGGATGTATATCCTTGGGAAATAGCTGGGGTAATGCTGACCACATTACCCACCTAGTGCCGACTGGTCTGTAAAAACACGGGTGCTATTCCCATTTGCCCGATGCGCCTAAAGGCGTGAAAAGAGATCTTTACTTTACTTCATATGGAAACCTTAAATGTGTGAGAGAAATTACAATAAATATTTTGTCTGTCAATATTGTTAAAGATGTCAAGAGTGTTAAGCATGAGACATTATGGTGATGTCGTAATGATAGTCTGAAGATGGCCACCCCACTTCTGGCATGCACCAAAGAGGAGCAGCATTCTATTACCCATTTTTTTAATCATTATAGGGGTAAACCTATAGATTTTCTTTGAGAAATGAAGGTTCAGAACGGTGATGCATGCCTGTCAGTTCAGCAACTGTACGGGTGGAGTAGGCAGCTACAAAACACCCTTACTTCTGAAACAGACTGTTCCTAACCAGGTCAAGCACATCGAGCAGTGACCCCAAAGCTGAATGCAGCTGTTGAAAGCCTTCTATAGAAAAACCTCCAACATTTTTGCTGCACATCATGACATCAGTCAAGACTCAGCAGACCACGTCATGACATCAGTCAAGACTCAGCAGACCATGTCATGACATCAGTCAAGACTCAGCAGACCACGTCATCCATGATCCAAGAGAAAAAATACACATATAGAAATCTGTTCCTCCCTGGTGGGTGCAAGTGAAAGGTGGGGTGGCCATCTTTGAAATGTCATCATGATGTCACTGTGCTCATCTGCCCCATGATGTAACATACTTTACACTCCTGACATCCTTAACAACAATACTGGCACGTTACAAGAGAATGGCACGGCTACTGCAATTAATTTCGCTCACACTTTACAGGTTTTCATCCGAAGCCCTCCTGTCTTCACAGGAAACGATACATGCTACTGGAGATTGTAAGTGGTAGTGAGTGGATCAAAGCACTTCACTTGATCTGTGCTCCTTCTGTCAAGAAAACTGATATCAGGAGGTCGCTAGCCTTTATGAAAGCTCTCATGGTGTCCAAATCTCCCTGTGTAACCATAGAGCTTTGCCTTCTCTGTGGTTTGAAAAGGTCAGATTGCATTTCTCTTGGCAGCATACAGTCAAGACACTGTTGGGGCAGATCTTCAGCATTTTCTGGTGCCGAGCTGCAGGGGAACACCTGTGTTTCCTACACACAAACGGGTGAAGATATGATGTAGTCTGCGCAATGTCTTTAGGCTGAGTATATATACTCTCCATATATGGAGAGGCGATGAAGTCTTGAGACGGAAACTTGCTATGGGTATCTAGCCACCTTTCTCAGAGACTAGACTGTACTTTATTCGATAAAGGTGATGATAATGGTGGTGGCGGTGGTTGTGATCATGATAGTGGTGATGATGACTCACCAACTCATATCTCCTGAGCTGGTCACAATAGAATTGTCATCAATGAATCTACAGCAGGACAGGTATCCGGTGTGTCCAGGCAGCTCTCGGCTCACTCGGACGTTGCCTTCGCGTGTTTTCAGACTGTAAATAGAACAGATGTTGTCTAGACCGCCACAAGCCACAAAGTTGCCGCTGGGAGCGTAGGCACAGGTCATCACCCAGCTGGAGCGAAGCGGAATGGCGTGAACCTACAAACAGATGACAACTTGTAATTTCTCTAAAGTAGTATGGTAGGAGCTTTACATCTATTATCTGGAGGATTATTCTCCCTACATAACCTATATTAATCGACTTGCTTTTAATGTTTGTAATGAGTTAATTTTATGTTATACTAATATTTTACTACTTTTTTTACTTCAATTTCTCTAAAGTAGTATGGTAGGAGCTTTACATCTATTATCTGGAGGATTATTCTCCCTACATAACCTATATTAATCGACTTGCTTTTAATGTTTGTAATGAGTTAATTTTATGTTATACTAATATTTTACTACTTTTTTTACTTCCACATTTGCCCATAACCCTTTTGACCGGGGAACCAAAAAAAAGGCATAACCTCATTAGATTCCAGAAAGAATTTAATCTATCTGCCAATGCCTCAAAAACAATAGCTGTATCATTACCCCATTAGATTCCAGGAAGAATGGAATCTATCCCCCAGGGCTTAAAAAAACAATAGATGTATCAGGTGACACTGGCCCTGACCCCGTGACTTCTATCATGAGGCTTATAAGAAAATCTGAGAGGGAGAAAAGCTATTTGGCCCAAAGGGAACCCCCCCCCCCCCACCCACATGCTACTTTCAGTGAACGTACTCATATCCTTGCCTAACAGTTTGTGCAGACGCAAACTCAGCTAACAGCATTAACTATATGACTTGTTAACAGGCCAATGTAGACAAATCAGAAAAGTGACATTTGGGGGAACTGTTGGCTTTGCAGCTTCTCAATGCTAAAGAGTTAAAAGGGCGGCTCTCGCTGTTTTGTGGTTAACAGCTAGGCTGCACTACCTGCACCTTTCAGAAAGACAGACAGGCAGAACAGGCAGAGAGACAAATAGAAAAGTCAGACAGACAGACAGAGAGATACTGACCTTATTTGTTGTGTAACCATCCCACACTATTAATTTCCCGTCTTGAGATGCTGACACTAAATTCCTGCAAGCAGACAACAATGTGGAATGCTTCGTAAGGAAACATGGAAACAAGCAACAAACCAGTACATTACAGGAAACTGAACAATAAATACATTAACAGATATTATGAATTTAACACAGAAGCAAACCACAAAGTTAACACAGGAGTCAACACAGTAACAGGCCAAACTTAATAAACAAAAGTCAACATATAACAGACCAAAATCATCAGCAGAACAGATCAAAGTTAACAGGGGAAAAGATTAAAGTTAACACTGTAATAGGTCAAAGTTAACACATGAAAGGCCAAGATCAACCAAGTGGCTTCAAATCTTTAAAATAAAATTATAATAACCATGCTTTTGTCTTGTATTCTATCAATATTATTTTTAAGGATGTCAAGAGTGATAAGCAAGTGACATCACTTGTAGACCAACATAGTTTGTCATAATGGTTTAAATATGGGATGGTTGCTATACCTTTGACTTACACCTGTTAAAAGTGGCTCTATATAGTAAAACATTCATTTTCTATCCCCCCCCCCCCCCCAGTGGCAACAGATGTATTGCAAAAAATGTTCATTTCATATGGATGATTTAAAATGTGCTTATTAGGCATGGGGCTAACTCAGAGTTCTGAACTAACACTCTTAAGGTCAACTTGAACGCCACATTTACGGCAATCCCAACCCTATCTTGTGCATATGTTTATGCGATTGTTTCGGCACTTTTCCTTCTATACAGAAAATAGTGTCGTGCTATGGGGAGTTTTGGCAATCACAGCCCACGGTGATAGCCATTGTGACTAGCAAGACCCTTTCAAGTTAAGAAAGGTGTTCCACCAGAACAGCATAGGACTTCAGGAACACATTTGCCATAACGTTTTTTCTAAGCAGACTAACGACACACAAAACCAACAAACAAACAAAGGTAAAGTAAATAAAAGTCTATAACAACAACAAAACAAGTTTGGGTAGTGCCTTACCTAGAGTCAGAAGCCCAGTGCATGGCATATATTTTGGCCAGATGGCCCCGGAGTGTTCTCCGAGTCCTCATCTGTATTCTTCCGATTGGTTCTACGCCACTGCATGCTTGCGCTAGTGTGGTGTCGCCAGCGGCCTTTCTGGCTTCCTGTCAACAACAAACAATTCCATGGAAGCTGTGCGGATGTGTGTTTTGTTTAAAGACAAGAGAACACTGTGAGCAGATAAACAAAAGTGATAGCTACATCCGCACTCACAATAAACAACCGATACATTCTGAACATCATTTATGAATGATACTGATAAAAGTATTCCTCGTTCACCAGCTGTAAATTCAGGCTGTTCATCGATTTAGTCTCGTTACAAAACCTGAGCTTTGCATGCACATTGGTTTTACAGATTCGGCTAAGTTGTAAGCAGACTGCTGGTTTCTTGCTTCTCCACTCAATGCACTTTGACTTTGAAGAAAACCCCTGATTAGTCAATCTGTTATAGTCGACTTGATATGCTTGTTAGAGAGGTGAGGCAGTCGAGGGGGAGGGGGCATTCTTTTTAGCTCACAATGGGGCCCCGGAACCCACACAGGAGACAGAAGATATAATTTGAAATTAAATATGTAAGGTTTCTTGACTTAGAAATTAAGTGTGTTGAGTACCCTCTCCTGGGACGTAAGCTGAGGCTGGGAGTTTAGGGGGGGGGGGGGGGGGGGTGTGTGTGTGTGTGTGGGGTTGTGACCCCATATGAACAGCTTGTAGCATTTCACCACCAACACAATTATCACCTGACTATTATCAGATGACATTATTACCACCAACAATGTCATCACTATGTCACCACCAACATCATCAACACTACCAAAATTATCACCACCACCACAACCAGTGACTCATGTACCAAGGAGCAGACAGACACAAGTGGGTGTCTATATCGAGAGCACTTGTCAGCGCTTCAATGAATTCACTTGAGAGAACACGGCCTAGAAGTAGCTTCCTGTTGCGACGACTGCAGCCTATGTGGCGTGCTTGTGTAGGTTACGCACTAGTCACTGACTCCACAAATGCCCGATATGTCAACACATAAGGCGAATTGGCTTCCACACTGATTTTGAACTAGCATTGGTTTTATTAGGTTTGTGTGAGAGAGCGTACAAAAGGCAAGAGCAGCTTTCATAGCATTAGAGAATTTATCCAGGTGAAAAGAAATTAAAACTAATGCTAAACCTAAAATTTTTTAATTCTAATGTCAAATCAGGTCAGTACTGTTGTATGGAATGGAAACATGGAGAACAACTAAGGCAGTTACTAATAAACTACACACATTCATCAAATAGTGCCTGCGCCAAACAGAGAGAATTAAATAGTAAGATAGAATCAGCAATGTAGAGCTTTGGGAGAGAACTGAAAAAGTTCCGGCCGACAAAGAGGTGAAGAAAGGACGTTGGCGTTTGATAGGACATACACTAAAAAAGACCGAGAACAAAATCACTAGAATGTCTTTGCAGTGGAACCCACAGGGGCACAGAAATAAAGGAAGACCAAAAATCTACCCGGAGGAGGGAGCTAAAGGGAGAGAGCTGCATGCGATAGTGAAGGACTGAATGACTTGGCGTGAGCTGGACGAGGGCCTACGTCCCACTGGGGGATAGAAAGGCAGAAGAGTAGGAAGAGAGAGAATGTGTGAAAGAACGAATAAACATTTTCAAAGGGATCAGAATTGGACACGCAGGCCCATCTAACATTCTGCCCTTCTTTCAAACATCATTTCATTTAAACGTCGGTTAATAAATATAAATTAGTATTGTCAATAGTGGCTAAATATTACATATAAACACTGGAGTGTGTCCTACATTTCTAATCACAGTAAAACAATTGTCTTCTTTTCTTCTTCGCGTTCACCAGCTGTACACTCTGGCGGAAAGTTCTGGTTGCTCGTCCACTACTGCTCCAGAACCTGAGTGTTGCGTGTGCATCAGTTTTACAGATCTCATTCTCTTGAATACAGACTGTTGGTTCCTTGCCTCTCCGGCAGATGCACTCCGACTTCAAAGGAAGCTCCCCAATTAGTCGACTCTTACGACATGCTTTACGGGAGGCAGTGGGTCTATTCTTGTTTTCCCCACAATGGGGCCCCGGAACCCACACGGGTGTAAAACAATTGTAATAAATCTGGCAATCCATGCACATTGCCATTAATGTACTACAACAGGGAAGTTTAAAAAAACAATCCAAAAAAAAGTCGACTGGCTGATACAAACACACACACGACTGACCCTTATTTGGTTCTTTAATTGTTCTGTCTCCTGTCGCAGGGCTTCCAGATCGTTACTCATGATGAATCAATTCTGGCTGGTATCTGAAAGTTCACAGTGAAATCACCCGTCACTTTAACATTGTTACCTAACTAACCCTCATCTGTACAGTCGTGGCGACAGCACTGGCCATGCGTCTGTAAATCCTCAGACTCAAAGACACCCCCTCCCCCCCCACACCATAAAAGTAGTAAAATAAATGCAGTAATCCACAGTTTGACCTAACTATCTACTGGTCTTTGTTATCACTAAATCGTCAATGCATCTCTAGGTCCCATTTGTCATTTAACAACCATGTCGCAAAAGGGGACTTATTAGGGTTTTATCTTTAGAAGTCGGAGTGCATCTACCCAAACCCAAGAGGTGAGGAACCAACAGACTGCATACAGATCTGTCAAATGAATTATACATACACGACTCAGGTTCTACCAGATTAAGGTCCAGAAGTGGACATACAACCAGGATTTTCAAACGGCATTTACAGGCGAAGAAGATGGAGAAGAGATCAAGTGGTCAGAGGGGACAAAATTTTAACCTATTGTCCTGTAAAGGATCCTTTTCCAGGCCTTTAGGCATATTGGGCATACAGGGCTAGACCTATACTTTATAGACCAATCAGCACTTAGTGGGTGATGTGGTCAACTTCTTGCCAGCCGCCTTTATTTCCAGGACTCTACTCGAACCCATGAATTTCGAATCCGCAGGCCAGCGTCTAGCCGCCCCAGCAGTATTGACACCAGGATGGTTGTTTAATTCTGTGAAGTGGATGAGGATGAAGAATCGGCCAAACACATTAAACCCCAACTGAACAATCAGGAACTGAATTACTCTTGATTTTTCCTGATGATGGCTCAGTGTTGAATGAGTTGCAACATGGTGATACTGACGTTGGATAGAACACACACTGAAAAAAATACAGCTAGAATGTCTTTAAACCGGAGCCATTCCACACCCATCCAGATGAATAAGTGAACAAGAGAATGACGCTAACAAGGGTTAGAACATAGAGTGAACTGAATTTAAGAGCAACAAAGGATCACTTAGCATGAGTTAGCTGAGAGACTGATCCACTGGAGAGGTGGAGGAGGAAGAAGCAGCAGCAGCAGAATACGAAAAAGAAAAGGAAGAACAAGCAGAAGAGGAGGAGGGGAAAGCAGGAAAAGAAGAAGAAAACAGAAAACTAAAAGTTTGACTTGCAGTGAATAGTTTCCCCAAAATCCTGTGTGGGTTCCAGGGCCCTATTATAGGGAAAACAAGAATAGACTCACTGCCTACCTGAAAGCATGTCGTAAGAGTCGACTAATTGGGAGCTTCCTTTGAAGTCGGAGTGCATCTGCCTGAGAGGCAAGGAACCAACAATCTGCACACAAATGTGTCAGATCTGTCAAAAGGATGCACACGCAACACTCAGGTTCTGGAACAGGTCTGCAGTCCAGCAGAAGTGGACGAACAACCAAAACTTTCCACCAGAGTTTACAGCTGGTGAACGCAAAGAAGAAGTAGTTTCTCAAAGTGGGCAATATTGGAATGATCCAGGTGGGGAGCAGTAGTCATGAGTGCAAATGCTGGGCACTAAAATGATGAAAAGAAAGGACTGGGCATTCAGGCAATGGAGGTTTTCTGCAGAGGTAAACAAACAAACCTGCAAAGTTTGTGATGACTGCATAAACCATGTGGCCCTTAAATCGTCAGGCTCAAGACAAACGCCCCCTCCCCCCCAAATTTTTTCTCCTCACATCGCTCTAAAAAGTGGTACCTACAGGCTGTAATAAGGAAACAACAAAAGTAACAGGGCCTGCCTCTCGTTCAGCGGCTGCAAGCTTCTGCTTGGTTGTCCACTCATTGTTCTCAACTTGAGTTCCGCATGCACATCCATTTCACAAAACTGGCTCATCTGTATGCAGACTGCTGGTTTCTCATGTCTCAGGCAGATGCAATTTTTCTTCTTCTTTCATTCGCTTGGATTATATTATCTAAATCTCTAATGCTGTCTCTATTATGAACTTCATTGTCTTTTCTAATTCACTTAGTAACCCGTAAAGAAGTTTTTCACAAACTTTTCTTGGTCTCGGCGCCTTTTTTCTATCAAAAATTTTTACGGCACCCTAACCTTAGTAAAAGTATGACTATTTGTGTCTTGGTTAAATTAATTATGAAGCTTTTACAATATTCTGCAGCGCCCCTGTGAAGAGGTCATGACTCCCTGGGGCGCCACAGAGCACAGTTTGGGAATCACTGCCGTAAAGTTTGGCTTCCATCAGTTTCTCTCTTGGCCAGAAGTTCTGTTTGGAAATGTTGTATTTGGGACAGTCTCCAAAGATGGCAGATGCACTGCAGTTCACTCACACGTTTAACGGATTAACCCTAAATACATCAGCTTAGCAGTGGGTTAGTTTAATCCACTAGGATTTTAAAAGAAAACAAGCACAGATAAGACAGAGAAGCGGCGGCAGCAGCCACAACCATTCACCTGTAGGTCAATGAGATTCCCAGTGAGTGAGGAAAATGGGAGACTGATGGAGTGCCACCAGTGCGTCACATCACCGACGACAAGTGCCAACACGTTCACAAACTACAACTGTCTCTCCACTTGCTCTATCTGAACCCACTGCAAGACATGATTAAGAAAGAATCTTAATAAACATTCAAACACGCAAATTACAAAAGCAATTACAAGAAGGCTAAGACAGAAACCAGTTATCAATCAATCAATCGGGTGCCATCTCCACAGTGAAGACTGGCTGCAATGGATCTCCAGCATAGACTGTCTCTTGTCTTGGTTGTACTCTCGCAGACCACAGTTTGTCCATCTCTTGATGTTATTCTCCCACTTGTATCGTTGTCTACGCCTTGTCCTTGACCTCCAATACGGATTTAAAAATTTTTTTTTTTTAACGTGGCCAACATATTTCAGTTGTCTCAATTGTTTCAGTAACTTTTTATCTGCAGTCTTTCCAAAAACTCTATTGCACAGTTATGGTTTGGTCATCTGATGAGAATTGACAAAGCATGCTGAGAAAGTCACGTTCTGTGCTGAGTGGCAAGCACCACTTCAAAATGTCCTCCACTTTTTGGTCCATGTGAACTTGTTTAGTTCTCTCCCAAAACTCGACATTAGTGATTCTATCACACCATTTAATTTTCTCTATTCTGTGCAGGCACCAGTTAATGAATGTCTGTAGTTGATTAGTAACTGTTTGTAGTCTATTATTAACTGCCTTAATTGTTCTCCATGCTTCCACTCTATACAAGAGAACTGATTTGACAGAATAAACAATTTTTAGTTTAGCAAGTTTTAATTGGGAGTCTCCGGGGCGGAGCGGCTAGACGCTCACCGCAGATCGAAAGGTCGTGGGTTTGCTCCCTGGAGGAGCCAGACTTTTTTCAAAAATGACCTTGGCTCCCAGGTCGACCCAACCTTGAGTGGGTACCGGGTGCAGTCCTGGGAAGTAGAGGCGGCCAGCGTGATGCTGACCACATCACCCACCTTGTGTCGATTGGTCTATAAAAATATAGGTCTAGCCCTATATGCCCTATACGCCTAAAGGTGTGGAAAAGGGTCCTTTACTTTTTTCTTTTCAGTTGTAATTTCTTCCGACCTCCACAAATTTTCTAGTGCTATGAAAGCTACAAATTGTTTTAGTTGTTCTCAATGTTTATACATATTCGTGGGCACTGTTTGGGGTCCACATTAGAGGAGAAAGTCCTAAATGGGGGCCAACATGAGTAGCGTCTGTCTTAAAAGTTCTCTCACTTTTTCTCCTAGATTGTAGTGTACTAACCCCCTCCCCTCCTCCTTTTTTCCCCACACACACACACATCAGCTGCTCTAAGCCCCTGGGTTCTGCTGTCTCTCTAAGCCCTGGGTTCTGCTGTCTCTCTAAGCCCCAGGTTCTGTTGTCTCTCTAAGCCCCAGGTTCTGTTGTCTCTCTAAGCCCCAGGTTCTGTTGTCTCTCTAAGCCCTAGGTTCTGCTGTCTCTCTAAGCCCTATGTTCTGTTGTCTCCCTTAGCTTCCGGGTTCTGCTGTCTTTTTAAACACCCAGGTTCTGTTGTCTAAGCCCTAGGTTCTGCTGTATCTCTAAACTCCAGGTTCTGTTGTCTCTCTAAGCCCCCCGGTTCTGATTTCTCTCTAAGCCCTAGGTTCTGTTGTCTCTCTAAGCTCCCAGGTTATGTTGTCTCTCTAAGCCCCAGGTTCTGCTGTCTCTCTAAGCTCCCAGGTTATGTTGTCTCTCTAAGCCCCAGGTTCTGTTGTCTCTCTAAGCCCTAGGTTCTGTTGTCTCTCTAAGCTCCCAGGTTATGTTGTCTCTCTAAGCCCCAGGTTCTGCTGTCTCTCTAAGCCCCAGGTTCTGCTGTCTCTCTAAGTCCTAGGTTCTGTTGTCTCTCTAAGCTCCAGGTTCTGTTGTCTCTCTAAGCCCTAGGTTCTGTTGTCTCTCTAAGCCCTAGGTTCTGTTGTCTCTCTAAGCTCCAGGTTCTGTTGTCTCTCTATGCCCTAGGTTCTGTTGTCTCTCTAAGCCCCAGGTTCTGTTGTCTCTCTAAGCCCCAGGTTCTGTTGTCTCTCTAAGCCCTATGTTCTGCTGTCTCTCTAAGCCCTAGGTTCTGTTGTCTCTCTAAGCCCCAGGTTCTGTTGTCTCTCTAAGCCCCAGGTTCTGTTGTCTCTCTAAGCCCTAGGTTCTGCTGTCTCTCTAAGCCCTATGTTCTGTTGTCTCCCTTAGCTTCCGGGTTCTGCTGTCTTTTTAAACACCCAGGTTCTGTTGTCTAAGCCCTAGGTTCTGCTGTATCTCTAAACTCCAGGTTCTGTTGTCTCTCTAAGCCCCCCGGTTCTGATTTCTCTCTAAGCCCTAGGTTCTGTTGTCTCTCTAAGCTCCCAGGTTATGTTGTCTCTCTAAGCCCCAGGTTCTGCTGTCTCTCTAAGTTCTGTTGTCTCTCTAAGCTCCAGGTTCTGTTGTCTCTCTAAGCCCCAGGTTCTGTTGTCTCTCTAAGCCCCAGGTTCTGTTGTCTCTCTAAGCCCCAGGTTCTGTTGT